GTGGACGTTAACCCCCCTCTCTCTCTCTCTCTCTCGATCTCTCTCTCGCTCTCTCTCTCTCTCTCTCAACTATGCAGCTATACGGTTGTGTTAATATATATATATAAAAAAGAGTTTTCACCTAGAAATAAAATATTGTCCTGTGGTTAAAGAAAAACACTAAAAATCCCGATAAGGATCTCAACACGCCCATGTTCGTCTTGTGGCTATTAATTACAATTTCTCAAAACGTTTTATTGTTCACACGAACATACAAAGCGATTTCCTAGATGACAGTGAATTGTCATTTCATTTGACACTCGAAATTGAAAGAACTGGAAAAGTTGTTGGGATTGTGATGGAATAATATATGTGTTTATTAAATTGGATGACTGCAAAATTTCATAATCAAAAAAGAATGATCAGCAAGAACTGTGTGGTAAGAAATGAAATGTGTGACTTGATGATATATTTGGACTAAAAACATATTAAAATGAATTAATCTATCAAATATTTACTTCAAATCCCTCTCAGAACTCTGTATTTGCGAGGAGATACCCCAAGCTATTAAAAAAATCTATTTTTAGAAGCCATGTTTGTCACCTAACTTTTCAGAATTAATTTGTCATTACTTAATGGCCATTTACCATACATATCGAGGCCTAAGTAAATTCTTGAATTTTTTCTGCCAACTGCTTTACAGAGTCTGTTATACGTTCACACCCCTCAATGTTGCCAAAACCGCCTAAGCATTCGATCACGAAATATTCACCGCTCCCTAAATCAAGCTGGTAGACAATAAGCCATCGGGTTGCCAGTTAGTGATATCCTGAACTTTTTGTCCAGAGCTTCCTCCATGGGTGTTTTTCGGGTATTCCAGTATTTTTCTAGTAAGAGTGGGCGTCTCTACTTTCCATATATACCAAATTTGCCATACTTTTACTGGAAATTTACCACCCGATAAATACTTTCTTGAGATGGTATCTTTAAAGCCAATATCCCCATTATAATGTGCGATCAATTTACCTGTTTACATAAATTTCAGGTGAGTCCTAATGGTGTGCCATTTCTGTTACTGTTTCTAATCTTCATTATTGTCATACTAGTCTACGCCAAAGAGTCCCCGTTCGTCAATTACTACCCTGCAAAATTACAATCGCTACTCAAGTTCCAATCATTGACCAAGCCGCATACATTACAAACATTGCCAGTCGGAACAGAAGAAGAGGACTTTTTTATGTTGCTTGATGTTGTAGTAACATTTCCCCTTCTTACGGACCCCGTCATTTTTAATTCTTCGAAGTACTCGATGTGGCCTCGTCATAAACTTGAGGCAAGGCAAGCTGACTATATAACAAGTTTACAGAGAACATTAAGCCATTCCTATGTTTCAAATGTACACCTCCTATACGACCAGCCCGAGATCATCAAATATATTGAAGCTCGTGTGAAAACTGATTTTGGAAAATTGTTATTTCATAAAGTAACAGACAATACTAGAGCAAATATCGCTTTCGAATTTGTCTTTTCTAATCTGAACGGACGCTTAGTGATGCTAACTCAAGCAGACGTGTATCCGGGCCAAGGCTTAGAATTAATTAATAAGGATATTATGGATTCTAAAAGACTGGTATATGCTGTAACCCGCCATGGTCGACTGGAAAAGAACTGTGATATGAGAAGAGATCCAACGTCGAGAAGTTGTTCTGATGAAACATATAGAGGTTCCCATGACGCTTACATATTCGTACCACAGGGCGAGTTTCCACCAGAAGCTTGGAAGGCTTTGAATCATGTTTCTCATTACAAAGGAATCGATAATGTCATTATATCGACATTCAAGGATATACTAAAATATAAAGTATTAAATCCATGTAAAGTGATCTATGTGTATCACTTTCATTGTTCTAGTGTAAGACCAGGGGGTGTCCAACGAATAAATGGGAAAAATAATTATACATGGTCTCCCGGGCGATCACTACCTACTGATAAATTGTTCTAATAGGTTTTTTTTATATTTTTGTTTACATTTTATGAAACCCTTGAGTTCGCTTGAAAATTCTTTTCCCTTTTTTGACTCTAGTCTCAGGCGTTGTTTGGGGTACACTAGAGAATAAATATTGTTATAATAGTAATAAACACCTTGTGTTCTCATAATTATTCAAAATAGAAGCCTCAAAACAAAGTTGCGTACGTGTCGTACTGCCGCGGGGTATAGAATTGATCAGCAGGACGTCAAACCCTATTTCATTTCATTTCTTAGCAGACTGAACAATCAATCACATTGCACCTCGCTATTTAGAAGTAGGTTGCGCTCTTCTCAGACATTATTAAGAATTCCCAGAGACCTGATATTATAGCGTTTCAAATGTTAGGTAAGACATCATAAGGTAGACACCATTTAGCAGGCTCGTTATAGAGGCCGAGGGTGGCTCATTAGTTTGGAAAAGCCTTGACTATAGATTATCGATTAAAAATGTAATATAATAGATGTTGTGAATTTTGTATTGGTGATGTTTAACTTTTATATAAACACGTTTTCTCGAGTTCCATTGATTATAAAAAGAACACAACGTGAAGACAAGTCAAGTGAAGTATGAATATCGAAGTGCATATTGAAAAGGATTTGTCAATATTATACTACTTTCAGGCCGGTACGCCCGCTCTACACTTCTGCTTGTGATTACAGAATCTGTCCACCAATTATTGATATCATTAAGCATTACATTATATTATTATATATTACAGCATATAATTTATAGTGCGCACTTTCATATAACATGTTCAGGGGCACTTGACAAAGTGACAATGTAATCATAAATAAACAACAAGATCATGGACATGTTAACGATTGTATACAGAGTCAGTTAAAAGCCTAATTAAATTAATGTGTTTTAAGGGTTTTTTTTTTTTAAAAAAATATAGAGATGTACAACATCTTAAAATCAATTCTATATTTAACAGGTAACTAGTGTAAATTATATAAAACAGGAGTTATGTGGTTGCATTTCGTAGTTTAAAGTAACAAGTATAGCTGCAGTATACTATACTTTTTGTGATTTATCTATAAGCTTTAAAGGTTAACCAACTAAAAGTGAATTAAAGTTATCTAATCGAGAAGTGACCAAAGACATTAGGTAACCAGTACGCTCACTGTACGTCTAATACCGCTGATCTGAACAGTGGGTGAAACCAAACTTTAGCCAATAATTCAATTGGGTCCGTCTTTAAAGATACATTATTCAAGAGCTAAATGATTTGCCTCTTGCAGGTCTTTCTTTAGGCCTTAAAAGTTATATAAATTATTAATTAGATATGACAAGACCACTGTCAACTCTCGATGCCATCGGATACTCGAGATTTTAACTAGATTAGAACGATTCTGCCATTTAATGTTTTAATTAATAAATGGGGAACTGAGGCTAAGCCTCGAATATACCAGCACCGTGGTTACGATAATACACAATCAATACACACATCTTGTCAAAACTACAAACGGTGATAACTTGGCTCAGAATAAAGTAATTTGAATGAAATTTTCAATATTTATTCATTTTACATTAATATATTTTTGAACAGCTATAGCAAGAACGACCAGCTCTTTATCTTAATCTTACATCATAATGTATCTTTAATTAACAGTAATTTCAGTGTTTTTTGCAGATATTTTTCTTGTCACTCAATAGACAGTTTAGAATTGTGCTGGGTTTTTTTTTTGTTTTGTTGGGTTTATTTTTTAAAAAAAAACACACTTTTGTCGCCGAGTCCTTTTGTTTATAAATAGATTATAATTCAATATCAAAAAAGTTCAGGAAAAACTTAGCTGCAATGAAATTTCTTTTAATGTATGGACTATTCCATTAAAAGCATAAGGCGGATTTTTCACATATCTGATTAGTAACAAATGCCCGTTTTCCAAAAACACATCTTCTTTCCTAATTCAAGGATTACTTTTCCTACAAGACTATAACCCGATTAGGGTACAAAAAATAAAATGGGGTTTTACGTTCTACTTTTTTGCTCCGAGCCCCCGACCGGGGTAATGGAGACCGGCTTCATTTTGTGGATTCGATTCCTTTGGCAGACGAAGGACATATGTGTTAAAGTTAAAGCAGCTGCTTTCTGCTCAACGTGGAGCCATGGTGGCTCAGTGGGTAATGGTGGGCTCACTAACCAGGGGCTGTGGGGTTCCCACCCGACGTTGGCGAGAAAATTCCCCCAGGATTTTTAAAGCATCCACCTTGGTTTCCCCGTGGTGCAGGGTAGAGTGTTTGGTGGTTGAAATGGAACGAAACCCGAGTCACCTTGGTGTTGCGTGTATAAGATATTCGAAAGTTCGGATTCCAATTAAGAAAGAGTCGGTCATAGCGCCGCTGCCACAATTTACCTCAAAGCACACTGCATGGTGTAAGCCCATCTCCGAGGCATGCTCAAATGACTATAGAAACGGTCATGTCCAAGGATAGTATCACAGGGCAATACAAGGATAGTATCACAGGGCAATATATGGCCAATTTCTCACCAGTATGTTCTTTGCAGACTGTTTGTGCGTCAAAGCTACACTGGTGTCCACCATAGCCTCAATACTGGTACACGTGTAAAACAATCTGGTTAAAATACAGATCTATATTTCGTTTCGTTTTTTTATACTTTCGATGGCCTACACTACATGAAGATATGACAAGCTGTACTCTAAGGTCTTTTCAGGGGCCGTACGAGTGGCTTTTGACCCTATGACGTCAGACATTGATTAATTAATCAGCGTTGGCGTTCTAGTGGTTTAATCACAGATCCGTGCATGGCACACCAAGAAGTCGCCGTAACAGACTGTTTCATTGGCTTATCCCTTATTCAAGAAAAATGCCGGTAATATAACAACTCTTCCAAATCCTAGTGTAGTAAAGACAAGTAAAAGTTTTGTGTAAAAGTTACAGAACATTCTTTGTGTGGCAATCGGGGTCCATTGGTAAACTCACTTCGTTGGGGGGGGGGGGGTGATTAATGAATAAGTTAACAAAGTATTCATAGTATAGTTGTTTAATCATAAGATTCATACATACACTATCTGACCTGAAAATACATGTAAATAATAATATAGAACTAGTATACAGTATAATACAGGTTAATTACATACAAACAATTATATCAAGTTTTATTCTGTCAATTACTTGGACTAGCATGCCGGTTGACAGTTTTATTCTGTCAATTACTTGGTCTAGCATGCCTGTTGACTGTTTTGTTTTGTCAATTACTTGGCCTAGCATACCTGTTGACTGTTTTGTTCTGTCAATTACTTGACAGCTATCTTTAGGTAACCGACTATTGTCAGGTAAATTGTCCAATTCCTAATTACATACATACTTGAGAAAATCTTAACCCAGAATGTTTGGAATATTTTTTTTTTCTAGAAGTACTGCCCTAAAAATACATAACAAGGTTAAAAATCAGAAAAAAGCATGCAAATAGATCCTGAATCTATCTGGTTTTTTTTTTAAACATACAAAATACCCAAACCCCTGTTCACTGCACATGCAGATGGATAGATTCTTGTATCTGGTCCTATTGTTTTTAATTAGCAGGCACTTTAATGGGTTTGTTCCTGAGATTTGAAAGATTTTGTGATTAAATGACCAACAGTTCTCAACAGTGTTGAGTTGAAAAGGGTAAGTAATGACGGTCAAATTATCTGGTACAGTTTTAACATGCATTATAATAAATAATATCATAATGATGGGTTGTATATACGGACACGGCAGCGGTATCTCGTATTAAAACATTCCATCCATTATGTTCAAAAACTGTACCAATCAAAACTCTCTCCACCATTAGCGGTGTAAAAACACAAAATTTCGACAGAGGCCATCCCTTATGCGTGGTTTAATGGTCGAGAGCAGGACATTTAGTAGTATATGGATACTTCACTAGAGCGTTAGCCCGAGTGTTGCTTCGATGTATTACGCAATGTCTTGCTCGAGACCATTAAACAACTTAAAATACAGAACTATCCCGCACGTGCATTTCAATGAAATCGTCACGGGTGTCCAATATTTCAACTGGTATAAATAATGTACGACCAGCACCATTATATGAAATAATGGTACGTCAACATCAAAGGGTGACATCACATCTGTATTTTAAGAGAAATTAACACCTGCATAAAAATATTAAATGCAATATTGACTTAAGACAAATAAAAGTTTGTGTTCCATGCTGATAGTAAGTAAATATTACAGATAATTGAATATCCGTTCACGTTATTCGATTAATTTTAAGACGTTTTAGCTAAATGTAATATTGTAAATACAAGTACGAACAAAACACATAATACATAATATACAACTAGCACTAGTGACTTGACACGATACAACTAGCACTAGTGAATGACACAAAAACCACTAGCACTAGTCAATTGACAGAAATACATCTAGCACTAGTCAATTGACACAAATACATCTAGCACTAGTCAATTGACACAAATACATTTACACGCTACACATCATATTACACAACATTATTTACAAATTTCACTCCTTATAAGTATGAAGAATCTACAAATCTTAGGCAGTGTTGTCACACTCACTTTTCCACTACCAAAATTCAAACTAAAATTACAGAAAACAAAATGCAATCGACAAATTATGTCCTCCCTAAGAGATTTATTTTAAAATTTATCAATAAATTAATATTGTATTCTCGTCCGGTACATACCACTGGCTATATATATAAGGAAGGTACACACTAGGATTGATAAGTTATTCACACCAAGTACCTTGACCTGTCTAAGGTTTGTATACACCAAAGATTAGCGAGTATCACACCTTGATAGATTGTCCTCGGCATTTAATAGGTTATATATCTGCCCGTCCTGCTAATAGACGATTCACCAGAATTGGTAAAATCTGCAAATGGAGCTCGGTTTGAGTCCGTAATGGAGCAATTGGAGATCTTCGAGACACCAATCTGGGCGTCGACAACCAAATGCCTGATGAGCGCATGACTTTCTAAATGTAATTATACCTTATACAAACATAGCTTTAAAGATGTGTTCACTTCAACATTAACATACAGAAAAAAAAAATCAAATTATACAATTAAATTTCCAAATAAGTCAGAAATAAATCAAACCAGTTTATTAATACAGAACTCACATGTATTAATCACACGTTACCTTGGCAACACAAACGCTCGTCCATTCATCATCTTGCAGGTTTCATATATAAAAATTTGCAGATTGCCAAAAGAATACAAACATATTTTCTTGGTACATGTAACAGTTTTCTAATGGATGGTTATTGTATTCAGGCTGGCAATGTTTGAAGATATATATCTCTAAATTAGTGTAGATCAAAAGGACATCTGTTAATTTATAATTCTTTGCATGTACATGCATGATGGATTTCATGAACATCAATGTCTAATCTTATTATCTACATCAATTAAAAGATCAATTAACAACTCTTTACAGAATGGGATGATTAATTTTATGATAATTTGATATTTATCTATTTAGTTGTGTATGTAATTGTATACAAACACCATAATTATGATAATATCCTTTAATTCTTCATCACTACAGAAAAATATAAACCCAAATTTTAATGGAAGAACCCTAAATTGATATCTATAATACCAAATAGAGTTTCTGTAATCAATGGTTCCAGACTTGAATTTACAATATTTAGTAGTTAATCATATAGTTTTATTTTCTTGATCTGAAAGTGGCATTTACAGATTGAGAAACATTAACAGAAACTATGATAGGAGTTAATTATACAAGACTGTTTCAACAAATGTATTCTTTATCTTATTGTTATCAGGATTGATTTCCCATAAAAAGTTATGTTCTTCAAAGAAAAGGGTTTGGTTTGATGGAAAACCCTGGTCTCACCAACTTTGAAATTGTAAAGTTATGATATTTTTCTATGTTAAACTTGACTGTCAGACCATATCGTGATCAAGTCGCCACACTAAACAAACTGCATTGGAAAAGTGATAAGAATGCGTAGAATGGGGTATGTCTAGTGAGCACCAATACGATTTGAATCTATGAGAACATCCCTATTTTAATAAGTCAGTAAAACAGAGCCAGGTTTATAACATACATACCTGAAGTAATAATGTGCAAGACTTTTGGGGATACTTAGTACAGGGCAAGTAAAACAACGTTTTAGCGAAAGGAATTTTTTTTTTTTTCTTACACTAAAAAAGTCTGGTCCCCAATCCTATTCAGATTTCCAGATTAAAATATCTTTTTTTTTTAAAAAAAAACAAAACACCCGTTTACTATATTTTCATGCGGATCATTTTTTAGGCAGTAAAACAATGGACGAACATGTTCATACTTACTCAGACATTAAATTATATGTTTAATCACATCAGACCAATGTGGTATCAGACCAATGTGGTAAGTTCAGATATTAAATTATACGTTTAATCACATCAGACCAATGTGTATCAGACCAATGTGGTAAGTTCTGATATTAAATTATATGTTTAATCGCATCAGACCAATGTGGTAAGTTCAGATATTAAATTATGTTTAATCACATCAGACCAATGTGGCATCAGACCAATGTGGTAAGTTCAGATATTAAATTATGTTTAATCACATCAGACCAATGCGGTAAGTTCAGATATTAAGTTATATGTTTAATCACATCAGTAACAAATTATCATTCACACACTTATTACTAATCATTTTATGACCTTACTATCATTTATATTTAACAAATGAACTACAACAAACCCTTGTTTTTTTTACCTTTTCATGACAAAAATATAACAATAATTATAATATATAAAAAAACACGATTATATACAACATGATATGAAGTAGGAGTTCTTAAACTGATTTACATTAATGTTAAATTATGAAATTATTTCTCCCTTGTTTTCTTACCAATAATTGAATGTAATCTTTGGTTTCCTTTTCATATTAATTGATTTGAACATGGTCCAATAATTGAACCTCTCATACATTTATTCAATACTTATTGAGCCAGTAATGTCGGAGACGGTTCTGCTTTTTAAATGGATAAAGAACAATGTAGAGGTAATTAACTACATGTATATGTTTATGTATGCTGCCACCAATTAATAATGTATTCAAATGACTGATAATGAGGTTTAAGTCCACTACAGGGTGATACTGCAGAAAGATATGTATCCAAAATGATTCCTTAAAATCGGTTATTAATTTCACAACAAGATTTTAGCCTACAAGATTTTTATAGGTAGTGATTTCTGCTAACAAGACTGCGATAGTTAGAGCAATCACTTTGATAGACTTTAGCAATCAAAACTCAGATAGTTTGAGCCTTTCGCAATCAAAACTGTGATAGTTAGAGACTTTAGCAATCAAAACTGTGATAGTGAGACTTTAGCAATCAAAACTGTGAAATAGCTAGAACTAGATAGTTAAAGATTTTAGCAATCACTGTGATGATTTGAGACTCAGTCAATCAAAATTGTGATAGTTAAGAGACTCAGGCAATCAAGACTGATAGTTAGAGACTTTAGCAATCAAGACTCGGATAGTTAGAGCCTTTAGCAATCAAAACTGTGATAGAGACTCAGGCAATCAAAGCTGTGATAGTTACGAGACTCAGGCATTCAAAACTGTGATAGTTAAGAGACTTGGGCAATCAAGACTGTGATAGAGACGCAGGCAATCAGGACTGATAGAGACTTTAGCAATCAAAACTGTGATAGTTAGAGAGACTTTTGGATGGTTAGAAGCTCAGGCAATCAAGACTGTGATAGAGACGCAGGCAATCAGGACTGATAGAGACTTTAGCAATCAAAACTGTGATAGTTAGAGAGACTTTTGGATGGTTAGAAGCTCAGGCAATCAAGACTGTGTAGTTAGAGACTCGGGAAATCAAGACTGTAATTGTAATGGTTAGAGGCTCATTCAATGAATTATTAACTGTTTTTCATAACCTTACGGGCAGAGTTATGAGAAATCAAGACTGTGATAATTTTGGGAAGCAAGCTTGTGTTGTGACAGATAAAGATATTGGGAATCAAGATTGTGATGGACAAAGATTTTAACAATAATGATGGTGATAGGTAGAGATTATAGCAATCATGATTTTGATACTGATATTTTTAAATAATGATTACAAGTGGGTTAGACAACTTGACTTAATAAAGTTAGGTAAAATTGAGTGTTTCTTTGCTTTTTTTAAAAATGTGTGAACTCTATGGGTTAGTCTTAAATAGACTTTAATATTACAGTCCAAACTTAAACATTTGGATATTTTTCAGAGAGGGGTGTTTACTTATTTCTGAAATAAACAATAAAATGCGTTGGAGTGTGCTTATACCTACATATCATGATTATGATGCTACGGATGAAGATATATACAGATGAAGACAATGATTAATTAATGAACATAAAAAATGATGATAACAATGATTTAAATTTATGTTATCGATTTAACTTTAACTTTATAGAATTTTTCATAAGTTGAAAACCAGCTGCAGGTACTGGAGGTTGGGGACTTGTGAGGTCAGGCAGGTCATTGCTAGGTAGACGGTCAGTATGTTTCTGAAAGAATTAAAAAATAAACAGCTATTAAAACCAAAACAATCTAGTTAGATGGTCAGTATGTTTATGAAAGAATTAAAAAATAAACAGCTATTAAAACCAAAACAATCTAGGTAGATGGTCAGTATGTTTATGAAAGAATTAAAAAATAAACAGCTATTAAAACCAAAACAATCTAGGTAGATGGTCAGTATGTTTATGAAAGAATTAAAAAATTAACAGTTATCAAAAACCAAACAATCTAGGTCATTTAAATATAATAAACACAACAGTTCTATGGATAACAATTACTGTATTTCTATTAAAGCTACGTTTCAACAATGATTCTCTTGTCGTTATCAAGCACGATACTGATACAGACAGAAGGAACGAAATATATATACTATGTACAATCTAAATATTCAGATATATTTAAAGTAAGAAATATGTACTATATTAATGTAAAGGCTGTTGTTATGTACTTAAGCACATCTTGTATAATGAGCTTGCACAATTAATATTAATAATCCATTTACTATTATTATACAACCTTTACTCAAGTGTTCAGAAGTGCTGTACAAGTTACAGTAGGATATCACATTATAATATTATCAAATATCTATTGGTAAAATCATCTATATAACAACTAGACTTCAAAATGATGAGGATAAAAGTCAATTTTGCAATATAATTGATTGTGTGTTGACATGATTAACCAAAAATTAATAAATTAACTGAATTTCTAACCAAAGAATTAATAGCATAAATCTTCTCAAATTAATATCGAAATAATATATCAGGTCAATCTAATTCACTATATTATTTTTTATCTAAATCAAAAGATGTTTGATGAAATATTTCAAAATATAGCATTAGCTGTGCAATATGTGGAAATTCTACAAAAGCAGCAGGATGGACAATGTAGCTAAGCCATAGATTTTAAGAGACTTTGCATTATAACACAATAATGCATTTCACAGTAAATATTGCTTGTGTGGTATTTATCAATAAAAAGTCATTATGAATCCTGATTTCTTTTAAATTTTAAGCCTTTCTATTTGTTTAAGAATTATACTGGGTGATAAATAAAATGTCATACTAGTCTTTTTTGACCAAGAACTGGTCTCCAAGCACTAGTCATCTCATTGTTCTTCTCGGGTGAAGTTCTTTGGAAAAAACCCAATGCTCCACAAATTCATGGACCCTCAACATGAAACTTGGCATACTTGTTCCTTGGACAATTGTGCATCAATTGAGACTATGATTTTTGATATGATGTCACAATTCCAAGAAGACTGTGATGACATCATGCCTCGTTCCTAGTACATTCATACTTTTTTAGATATATTAAGATGCATCAAGAAAGTATTAAATCCTCAGTAAAGACTTGGATATTTTACATTATAAACATTTGAGACAAGTATGAGATTCTTTATCTTGGGGGGGATCACGTGGCTAAGTGGGTAAGACGCTAGCTCGCTAGCCTGGAGGTCGGGTGTTCAATCCCTGCATTGGCCGAGAAAGTTCATCCAGATTTTCCGGCGTGGTTCTCCCTTGTCAGTGATGCAGGACGGAGGGGCTGACAAGGAAAGCTGTCTAGTCGTTCGGATGGTACGAAAAACCGAGGTCCCGTGTACACATTGGCGTGCACGTAAAAGATCCCTTGGCAGTTGGAATTCGATATAAGAGTAGGCCGTAGTGCCGCTGTCTGGGCAAAATTTCCCTTATAGCACACTGTATGGCGTATGCCCGTCTTCATTAGCCCAGGTTAGGAGCAGAAAAGTAGGACGTTAAACTCCATTTCATTTCATTTCTTTATCTTGCGTACTACAACACAATACTTGTAATTGAAAGAACAAGGACTTTTGAGAAGGAAATTTCTGCAAATGGCTATAGTTGACTTAAAAGCAGCATATTTTTATATTTGAAATCAAATAAAGAACACAGCTGTCGCAACATAAAAATTCTGCAACCTCATTTTAGCAACAATTTTTTAATTCATAAAAAAATGGTGAGGAATAATTTTTTTCTAGGCAGTATTTTTAAATTTAACTCATTTGTACCTTTTGTATAGGCTGAGCAATTTCTGTTTCAGTCAACTCATTGTCATTTTCTTCATTTTTTAAACGTTTCAAGCCATCTGGTCCTCCATCTGAACTTTTACGTTTTCTGGATTCTGACTGTAAATAGAACCGTTTATATAGCCATAAAAACACTCAATCTTGTTTTGTAAAGATAATGGCAATCTAATCAAAATCACATGTCAATTCAGTTTGATGTCGCCATTTCTTTTGCAAATCGGGTATCTGGCGAAACATTTAAAACTTTAAATCCATGGATAGACACAATAGTCATCACATGAACTCACTCGGCAAACCTCAGCAGATTCCAGTACCCTACATCTAGCCTCAGCTGAATGACGAAGTCTGCCATTGGAACTACTTTCAAGTTCCCGGATTACCAATGGTGTTGCCCATGACGATGCCTTTGAAGAATGTTTTATCATACAAATATTTCAAAGTCTGAAGCTGTTTTTCTTTCAAGTTTATCTTCAAACAAGGACAACTTTGCACTGAAAATTCTACACACGCTTCGAACGACGCAAGTTTTCCTAATAAGTAAATCCAGTGCCGCATCACAATTGTATAGGCGTAGGTACATATCACTAACCGTCATACAGCCGAGGCTAGATGTAGATTAAAGGAATCAGCCGAGGTTTGCCGAGTGCACATGAACTTAGTGACCAAACGGATTGTCTGTATTGGTATACAATGCTGAGGGTTGTGGTGAATTGTGGAAATTTTGATAGTGATTCTTACTGGTTTAAAATAAGCTATTAGAAACCTTTGGAGTAAAACTGGCCCATATAAATGCAAATCTCATGGACAGAAAATGATGTTGATAAAAAGTAGGCTGGATTACGATGTTGTGTAAAAACAGAAAAAGTCAACAAAATAAAATTGAAATCTGATGTTAGGTTGAGGATAAATAGCAGGAAATGGCAGGAATATGATCACACTAACTCATAATGATGTACTCAAATGTATGAATGTATGACTGAATCTTGTCAATAGAGGAACTATATGCTTATCTATTCTTTGATACAAAATGCAGTACTAAAGCAAACTGCTAATATGTGAAATAAATTGTTATTATCACAGCAAAGTGCTTATATATCAAATAAATTGTTATTCCCAAAGCAAACTGCTAACATGTGAAATAAATTATTATTCCCACAGCAAACTGCTTATATATCAAATAAATTGTTATTCCCACAGCAAAATGCTTATATATCAAATATATTGTTATTCCCAAAGAAAACTGCTTATATATCAAATAAATTGTTATTCCCATAGCAAACTGCTTATATAACAAATAAATTGTTATACCCAAAGCAGACTGCTAATATATCAAATAAATTGTTATTCTCACTACTCTTGCACAGAGATTTAACATTTACAGGCAGTAACACATTTTTTCTGATAATAAATCGTATATCAAAGAACGACAACATATAAGATTCTCTATTGAGTGTCTCACCAACACTACAAGTTTTTCTATTGATACAAGATGAGACAGGTGATGACAATAAAATCTGATGAATAAAGAGATGATCACTTCTAATAGATAATTATAAAACTTGGTTCTAATACCTGCCTACTTCTAATATATTTTTGATATTTGTAGAATGAAAGAAATAACATTGGTTTCTATACATACCGTAATTGTATCACCATCATTTAATTCGGTTGTTACACCATCTTCTGTCATTTCTTCATGCTAAAATATAAACAGTCTTTTATAAATCCGGGTATAAATTAAATAAAAATCACATAATTTTTGTTCATTTTGGACTAAACAATAGAAATTACTTAAGATCAAGTACAAAACATTACACAAATTTTAATATATTGCAATAAACAGGCATAATGCAATATATAACAATACAGTTTTTTGCTACAATTGACAGTCTTAGTTAAAACTCTAAATGAAAGTTTAACATCCTGCTTTACTGCACCAACTGGGCTATTGAAGATAGGCATTCACCATGCCGTGTGCCATAAGGGAAAATTTGTCTGAAAATTGGAACTTATGCCTACTCGTTTCAAATTCCAACTATCAATTGTTTTCTTAGGTGCACACCAAAGTGGGACCTCAGTTTTTCATACTATAATAGGATTCAACCCTGATCTACTGGTTAGTGAACAAGTGCCTTACTCACTGAGCCACCATGACTCCTACCTTAAACTCTAAAAAAACTAACCTGATTATTTGATTCTGTTACTTTTTCGTTACCATTATCTTCTGTCTACAGAAAATAGATTAAATTGATCATAAACTTGAGTTCAACCATTTCCAAGATTTTGAAAGTAGAAAAAGAAAGAATTCACCATCCGTGTTTATGTCTAGATTTAAGTTTAATTTAAAGCCCTACCTGTGTTTTTTTCTGGGCATGGTCAGATTAAGTATAATTTAGAGCCCTACCTGTGATTTTTCTGGACATGCATCTGTATTATTTTTATCCTCATCCTGCTTTATTGAGTTTTGTGAATCTTGTGAATCTTCATCAAGAGATTTCTTCTGTAAATCTGAGTCAGATTTACTGCCAGATAATGACCGGCCCTTTTCTGTACTCTCTCTACGTAAATTACTAGTACTAGAGCTGTTGACTTTAGAATTTTCCTGCAGCAGAAGAAATACAATATGAATAATAATCTACAAAATGATCAACATTATTATTTACAGATTTTTTTAAACATAGTGAATCTAGTTTGAAATGTGCAATTGAGATATAAATAATGATTAGGCAAAACCCAGGTGTTTCATTTTTTCCGAAAGTACAATGAGCCTAAAAACGATATTTTGACAGGAAAGTTGTTAGTCCATGTATTCTCCTTCCAAACACAAATAATGAGACGAGTCTTACCTTTTTTTTCTCTATTTTTCTGCCTCTAGTTATAACATCTTGAGGGACAAACTGATCTAATTGTTTTCTGTAAATAAAGATGTAAAGAATGTGATTACAGTGATCTAAGGATAATACCATTCCATAAACATCTAACCCAGTGTAATATCATAGTGTACAGTGATACTGTGACTTGCAGTACTCCAAATTTCTACATCTACCAGAACCTCTATAGATCAACAACTGATCAGAAGATAAAAACTAACAGATCTTTTTACATATGTCAGGACTAGCCTTGAGACTCTAATAATAGTTCATGAGAAACACCCCCATCAACAGATCAAATGCCCAAATAAATCTTGATAGCTTTCAAATATTTTGGCCAGCATCAATACATGGACATTGTAAGCAATAATTAAAGTATTATCAATGCCAGTTAATGGGTCCATGGGATTGTGCTGCCTAGTCTTAAAGCTACGTTCCCAGAAAAGTATTTATCGGGTGGTTATTTCCAATAAAAGTATGGCAATTTTGGTATATATGGAAAGTAGAAATATCCAATCTTACTAGAAAAATAATGGATTCCCTGAAAAACACTCATGGAGCACATACAGGACAAAATTGTTTGGGTTTCCCTAATCGACAGCCCGACGATTAGGAGTGTCTGCCTGCACGCGTAACGTCAAAGGTTGCACGCGGAGATTGAGCGTTTGAGGTACATGTTGATAAACTTTATGAAGAGTTAGACGTACAACATTTTTGGAGATAAACATCACGGAAAAAGACGCGGGCAGTGGATAATCCGAGAAATTATTTAGACTTCGATATTTGTAATAAATAGTCAGCGATAAAGGCAACATCGTCTTGTGTATGCAATGAATTCTCCTCCGACCTTGCACACGTGTCACGTGACACAAACATGACCTCTTTTGATGACTTTTTATAGCCGGCTATTCCCTGACAATTGCAATGTTTTGAGAAGGATTTGAAGCAAAATTATGATAAATTAATTAGTTTGAATATGTTTTTAGTCCAAATATATCAACAAATCACTCAGTTTGTACCCGGAAATGTATCTTTAAGGTCCAATCTGATTAAAACACAGATCCTATTTCGTTTTGTTTTTTATAGTTCAAAATTTCATTTCATTTGTCTGTACTACACTAGGATCTTGAAGAGTTGTTATATAACCTGCGTTCTGGATGGTGTGAGGGATTAGCCAATGAAACCATCTGTTACAGCGACTTCTTGGTGTGTGATGCACGGAACTGTGGGTAAACCACTAAAAACGTCAACGCTGATTGATTAATCAATGTCTGACGTCATACGGTCAAAGGCCGCTCGTACGACCCTTGACACGACCTTCCAGTACAACTTGTCAGATCTTCATGTAGTGTAGGCCATCGAAAGTATAAAAGAACGAAACGAAATATAGATCTGTATTTTAATCAGATTGTCTTAAGGTGCTGTGCTATAACTTACCTTCTTACATAGGATATTTCTACTTTCATATCTTCTTTTAATAAATTAATATGAATAGCTGTTTTATGAACTGAAAAAAAAGCTCTTTTATATAGAAATTGTTATCATTAATATCTTAAAGGCTCAATACCACTCTTGTTGTAACTGAATAATATGTCTCAATCTTTATTCTGGTAAACAAATTGCACTATTTTACAATATTCCAATTAACTGATGATACAAATTTCATCTTAACACACCTAATTTAAAAAATTGGAAAAATTCTACTAAATGATTTGAAAAGCCCGACGTAAAGCTTTTCAAATGTGACTTGGATTTAAAAATATTTTTGAACCCTCTGGACAAGTAAAATAGGATTTAATGGATAATTTACACAACAGGTAAGACACTAACACATCTAGTACTTAGAATAAGGCTATTTTTTATTTTTTGGAGCTGTCAAGCCAGCAAGAGTGTTATTGTCCCTTTAAAGTAACTGACATCTAGCTAAATTCATTCAATTTGTAGCAGATTTTTGGACAAAAATTGTAACTTATGTTCGTACACTGTAGCTATTGGTTGCAGATGTTTTGTTTTCTGGCAACTAATGTTTGTATTTGAAGCAATGTGATACAATGACTTCTGAATCCTCCATGTAAATCAAATTTGAATGTGATTTATGTCAATTCATGCTGTTGTTGGAGTATAACGAATATTAAGTAACAATGCGTAATTTGTATTTTAAACGCCAATATGTACTCAGATTGATTATTTATCATTTAATAACGAGAACAAAATCAAAAAACCAACTCTAGATAATGTCCCCGCTTGAATTCAATCAGATTTAAAACAGGCCTATCATTCAATTTTCGTGGCCAACAAATATTGGAACAAAAATGAACCATATTTGCACTGACATTCATCTTACCTATATCTGAGAAGGACTGGATATCAAAAGTGAGATCAATATTAGCTGATTTAGTATCTATAAATAGTAAACCAATAAACCATTTACACATATACTTTCCTTCACTGTAATAATAAAAATAATCTCTCATCAAATCCCAATAATCATTCTCTCATCAGTTCCACATTTAAACTGAATTTATACTTCAATATCATAAGGAATAGAAAGTTTCACAACATGACATTAAAAATTAAAGTTGGAAAATTAAATGGGGTTTAACTTCCTACTTTTTGTTTTACTCTATTTAGGCTAAAGAAGACGAGCATTAGCCATGCAGTTTGCTATGATGGTATTTTATTTTAAATTCCAACTGTTCTTTTATGTGCATGCCGATGTGCAGATGGGACCTCAGCTGCTGTTCCGTGCAAAGCCAAATGGACAAGGGGGAACCCATGCTAAAAATCCACAGAAATGTCCTCTGTAGGTGAACACCGGATCTATCGCAAGACCTAAAGATTTGCTAGCCAACTTTTTATTCAATGAGCCATCGTGGCTTTCATTAAAGCTAGAAGATATTCGATAAAATTTCATTTAATAATCAAACAATATTAGCACTTACTTACCTTTCATTAAATGGACCGAAAGATTCAGGCATGATATGAGCAAGTTTTATAAATAGATTCCTCTCTAAATTTCCTACTAACAGTCTTATTTTAGATTCTACATAACCTCTCCTGTAATAACAAATATTTAATAATATAAAGATAGGCCACGCCCACAAGTCACCTCAGTCTTTATAAAATCATTGCCATGTTGACAAGGTACAACATAATAATCAAGGGCATTAATTTTTGAAGTAATTACCAGAAATGTTGAAATTTAATGAGATTCTTCTGTCTGAAGAACGCATATAAATTTCAAACAGATAAGATCATAACTTTTGTGGATAGAAATGAAATGGGGTTTACTGTCCTACTGTTCTGCTCTGACTGGGCTAATAAAGATGGTTTTGTCGATAGAGCATTCACAAGATTTTACAAAACATGGGCTGTAACTCTGGAAGTGAGAGAGAGAGAAATGGGGTTTAACGTCCACTCGACACAAACTAGACCATTTCGGGACTAACATATGGTTTAATTTTATTTCTATAATTTGCTTGTGCGTAGGGGTCTTTAGTAGTGGGAGGAAACCGGAGGACCCGGAGAAAACCCACGAGGTTGGACAGGCGACCCTACTCCTTGTCACGTACAACCTGGGATTCGAAACCATGCCAGTTGACTCAATGACAGGTCTTATGATACAGCACGCACGTGCTAACCATTCGGCCATCTAACCCCCCTAACTCTGGAAGTCATTATTGGAAATGGCAATAGGCTTTCTAATTTCACTACTATAAACAATACACATTACATCATGAGATGATAAACAAATGTATTCTGGGGAGTTTTCTCAAGAAAATTTTGGACGATGGCATTTTGGTTTTATTTAGGTTATATTAATTACTCTCACCATTCTAAATAATGATCTTCATCCTCAGCTCGTGCCGTAAGTACTATATAATGCCTGAAAAATAGAAATCCAAATATAGATTTGGGTTTTTCTACATCTAAGCTTTACCTTTAAGATTTTAAAATTCCATAAATAACACTGCCAAGTATCTTAAATATCCTTGTTTCAAAAATAAATAAAACCATATTGATTCCTATAAAGATAACTCTACTAGTTGCATTCACCAAATTAGATCACAAATTTTCTGTTTTGACAACATCCTTATGCCAAAATAAACTAAGTTTTAACCACCCAAATCCTAAAAATATCTTTTTTCTGTAACTTTTGGCATTTTTTCAACAAATAAAGTATAATTGGACAAAAATATCACTGAATACCTACTTATATTTCTGGAAGAAGTTTGATGGCTCAAACATTCTGGACCATTCCTCTTGACCTTCCAATATCTTATTTATTACCTCTAAACCTAAACAAACAAATTTAAGAATAATTGGTTAAAGAGTACTTGTACAAAAATATGAATGCCTGCAATATCAAAATCTTTTAATCAAGACAAACTCTATCAATAAATGCAACATAACATTTTTTCGGGGTACAGAAATTTTCTATATAAAAAATCGAAATTCCTGCTACGCATACTAACTATATCTGAATTTTGGTCAAAATCTCATTTGAGATTCATAAAGAGGTTCCCCTCAAAATAAAACATATACGTAGTATGATGGGTATATGGAAGTGATGGAAGTGTTGTAATACAACATGCAATCGTAAAATATTGCACTTTTCTGCTCCATCCAGGCTAATGACGACTAGATGCCGTTCCTTGCCAGGCAATCCAGTAACAACATGCAACCAAACTGATTATTAAAGATAAATTATGTAAGATTTAGATAAAGTGCTGGACGTTCTTTCTATAATAATTCAAAAATAGATAATGAAAAATGAATATATTGAAAATTTCATTCAAATTACTTTATTCTGAGCGAAGTTATCAGTGTTTGTAGTTTTGACAAGATTGTTTATTATCATAACCACAGTGCTGGTTATTTGAGGCAGAATTAGCTCTTGAATAATGTACCTTTAAACATAATTATCTCTATACTGCAACATTTTTAAATATGACAACGAATCTACAATAAAGTCAGATCGAGTTTGGTTTCAGACAATACAGCAAGTCCATAAATGAAGAGATATAGTATACACTTAGAGGCAACATACATATATGCACTGGATGCTTCATATTATTTAGTTTTAATTAAATGTAAATATTAAAACAAACTACCGTCATTAAGTTCTTCGTTTATAATAGTTCTAGTAGAATTAGTAACATTATATGTAGAGTTTTGTTGAGGATAAGCCGGTGTTATAATTGGCATTAAATGATATCTATCTGCTGGGTTTATCTGTAAATATAAATAAAATCTGTTCAATCTCCCTGTAAATATAACAAAAGGTCAAAGGCCATACAGAAAGATACTTGGTTCTTAGGTCAAGCAATAGCAAGAAAACTAACAACTTTGGTATTTTTTACATATAATACTGCATAAAAAAGTAATAAAAAAGTTATTAACTGCTAAAAACTAAGAAATTATTGAAATTGTGACGTGGATGGAAATGATAATTCCAATTGCTACAAAATGATAATTCCAATTGCTACAAGATGACTTACCCTAGGATCCCATACAGGAAAACCTAACTTATTTTCAGCAGTATCAATTGCCTTTAATAAAACTGGATGGGGCCAATCCCTGGAAAATAAAATATAAAGAGAAATAAAATTAAAATAATGAGAACAGTATCATTGCATATTATTATTTCTAGGAAACTGGTAAATTCTTGATTCCCTCATAGCAATTGACATTTATAACAGTGTTAATTAATAAAATGAAGATACTTCCATCTTAAACGTAGGAATAGTAGGATGTGATAAAAGATAAAATTCCCAAATCCAATGAATGCCTTTCATAACTGCTGTTTGATACAAATTTTCTATGGGTATTTTGGCCGTTATCATTAAGAACTACAGGTTTTTAAATTTGGCATTTATTACAGTGTGCCAACAATACTTCTGACACATGCAGGTCGAATGAATCCAAAAGGGTAATAACGCTAGGTTCCCACTGTCATGCAATGCATTACGATAGGATTGTCCCTATTGATTCCACAATCTGGTACGTGGAGATACGTTCGGATACGTTTCGATATGATCAACACGATTGCTACAACTGACCTCAATATATGATAAGAACTGATAGGATCACCATGATTACTTCATGATTAAAACTGAGATTTCAGTCGTAGCGGGAATCGTGATAGTGGGAACCTAGCATTAACAAAAATACTATTAGACGTTTCTGTTTTTTAGCATGTGCAGCTATTTTTCTTTACATTCTACCTTTTATAACTAAAATTTGGGATCAAAAGAACTGATGCTCATGTTTGTGTAAACAATATTTTATTTCAAATGGATGAAAACGGATCAGGGAACTGGCATAGCCTATATCACCCTTTCCCCTCCTGTTCAATATATGAAACACGTAGAATATCTTTTTATATAAAAACATATCTCACCATTTACTAAATACTAGGAAGAAGCGATGTACAAGAGTAGCTGGCGCTGCATTGGGATAAAGTTGACAAACTCGAGCTACTAACATAGCCCATGATACACCACCAAAATAACCCAGAGAATTGGAATATATACTCTTTTCTGAAACACAGTAATGGCATGAAGTTTACAAGTTATGGCTTAAATTTAGATCAGATAAACTATAGCAAAACTAACTGTAATGGAAAAAGAAGAATTATAATTTAATTTTTGATCTTCAGAAGAAAACAAGCTTCCTGGACATGATATCACTAAATTTTTATAATTTACTTTTGAAAAAGTGAATGAAGATTTAGCTACTTACTTTTGGCCCACAGCTTTATTGCACGTAATGTCATTCTAAAATTATCTTTATTTGGCACTAAATGTAGAATTTCATCAGTCACACGACAACCTGAAATAATGGGCAGTATTATGCAGGAAATTTTGTTCACTGACTAATAGATTATGGTGTCATTTACATTATTTGACTTTGTGACTTTCTGTATGTTCATGGATGTTTGTGGCAAACAACTATATCGACAGTTGAACAAAAGCGCAAATATAAAATATTCATTTCACCTCAGACTAATTAAAGAACATAAAATTAGTTTTCAGAATATTTAGATACTTAGTGTTCTATGGAACAAAGCCAGGAAAATAAAAAAATAAACAAGCATATCTACTTACCATTCAGACTTCTAACACTTTTTTCATCTAAGTTTTTTAACAAGCCTTCTGTACGTAAATCTATACCTTCAGGTACTACAGGTAAAGCTAATCTAGCAAATAACATATCAAGCTGAAATAAATAAACATATCATTTGTATGTCTTGTCTGTGGGTTTGCCTTGTATAATTGTTTATGTGTGGTGTGGTCCTCCTGCACTTACTGTCAAAGCAAGCACCAGGATAAAATTCTTCTGGGTAAATGCTTCACACATTTAACATGATATGATCATGTTATTTTAGCTTTTCATTCAAATTTTATTGATTGATAAAAATATCAAATACTAGAATGTGAAAAATACAGCCAGAATAAAATTTACAAAGTGTAACGTAATTGCATGTTAATAGCAAAAATTCAATTCGTAAAAGGTTTCATACCTCAATACCATCAAACTCCATTTTTATTACAGGGACAAATGCTTCTTCTACAGCCTGAATAAAATATGTATTAGTTATATTGCTCAGCTTCCTTTATTTCTATAAGCAATTTTTGCAAGAGAGAACTTTTTTAAGCATTGGAATATTTACTTATACAATGCTGTATGTTTTACCACAAATGGCTTTAAGTATATGGGTATGTTTTTATAACCATACATACAAGACGAAAATACTTTCTGTTTTAGCATGGCTTAGACAGTAATGTCCTAATCCATGCATGTTAATTGTGACAAAATTCAACTTTTGTCGATTTTGTTTCCATTGCCAAGTCAATATAACAGATTTTGACAACAAAATCACAGATTCCAGTTTGTATCTAAAATAACAGGAAAAGACTCTAAATTTCATTGATGACAATGTATAGTAACTTTCACAATTTTTTGATGGAAGGTCCCTGAAAAAACTGGGGGCCTTCAAGCTAGGTAGTCACAGAAAATCTGTCCCTTATTTGAGAGGGGTCTTCTTATGCCACAATGAATAATTTCATTGCAAAATCATGTTCACAAGCTTTAACAGCCAAAATTAAACATCCAGTAAACAGCTAGAGTTTGGAACAAAAATCACCGAATTCGGTGGAAAAATGTTGATGAGTTTTGTAGGGTGTCCTTAGCAAACTTCAGTGGATCACATTGTTTCGCATGGGGGGGGGGGGGGGTATGAAAGGCGTATGAATTCCTTGCGGCAAAGCACGCCGCAAGACAGTGTTTCCAAGAGAATCTTTGCGGAACATCACAGGGGAAATTGTTAAAAAAATCACCATGAAATCCTAGCGATCTCTTAGTGATATTTTTTTTCACAGTGTTTTTGCAATTCTGGTCCAAAAAATTTGGGACGACTGTAACTCTTACTTTGAAGCGCTTTTGAAACATACTATCTGTATATTTCGAAATTTGATCAAGTTCTTTCTTACACCACATAATAGAGCAATATCATCAGTTTTAAAAAGTTAGATGGCACAACAAAAAAAAAAACAATTATTTCTGGTCTTTTTCTTACCCTCAAGTCCTTTACTTCTGGCTGTTGTTTGAGAAGTTCATGGAAAGATTTAAAGAAATCTGTACGTTCAACATGTCTGGGAGCTACGCATAATGTATCAATATCAGCACCTGAGTAAAAGATCAAAATACCATTAACTACAAAGTGATATCCAGAAATGTGAACATTAAAACATGAGTTGCCTGAGAGTAGCAACAAATGAGCCATAAAGTTTGTGCTAAACTGAAAGTAAATGGCATAACAATTTCAATAAAAGTGAGGAAGTCGTGCCATTAACACAATCTTCATTTCAATAAGCTGAAAAACTGATTAAAATTTCAGCAAGCAACTGTGAGGCTGATGTCTCCACTTAATACCCAAAAGAAATAGATGACACTCATTAATTATATGCCCATTTACCTTTTTTATAAAGAAAATTCTGTTCATCAAACTTAGTCAAGGTATTGATGTAATGAAACTATGCACCAAATTTCAAGCCTCCCTATTAGAATCAAGGGTAATGTTACAGGAAGAATATAAATTATTACTTCCCCAAATCAAAAACAATACAATACATAGCTCCCGATTTCCAAGATTTCAAATGTTTAGACTTTACAAAACTAGGCTGTGATACTCACCTTTTGTATGAACTCCTAATCTATAGGAACCAAATGTGAAAACTTTTCCACCAAAACATTCAGCTTTGTTTTCTGGTATATTATTCTGAAATAATTTATAAAACATAAGTCACGTGGGTACACTTTCTCACACATCTAATAAATGATCAAATTTGCCTGGAAATACCTTCCTTACATGAACCTGTTCTGATTAAAGGGAGATAACTCAGTTAAGAATATCAACCACCTTTATTTTACCTGGTTTGCTTACAGAATTAAAATATTTTATCTACACACCTTTTCTTTGCTTACATCTATAATCCATTGTCTAACTAATTCATTCACTTTGCTCAACACTTCCATTCTGAAATAAGGCATATTCATCAAGGCAATGAATTTTAATACTATAACTACATGTATCTTTATTTTATTAGCTTGTTTCTACAAATATTTATACCAATGTCAATATCAAATTATTGTAGGCTTAAACTTTTTTAATATTAAAGTCATGCTTCATCAGCTTTGGTTGATGCATTTATTGTGGTGAAACAATTTGATGGGTCACTTCATGTCAAGTACAGAAATTATGGCTTATTGATCAGTAAGACTTTTCAATACATTAGACCTAAACCGATGCAATTCTGTTAAAACATTCGTACATACCAAAACCAATGTACTGATATAAATAACAGTCATTGTTTTTTGAGGTGCGCGGTCGCTTGCGAGTGCCTGCCGAGCATGTGAATGTCGACTCTTCTTATTTTCAAAATCATGGACATATGGATTTTTTAAAAGGGTGTGAAAGATTCACATTTCGTTCGCCGCCATGCTGTCATTGTGAACATTTATTTGGTGTATTCGATTAGTGTATAATGGATCACATGATAATAAAATTCTGATGAATATGTTGTTAAAAATAGATGGCGCCTATGCATCATTGGTTAATTTAACGGAAATGTAAAGTAGAACTCTCGCGAGATGTGAGAAATTACAAAAGATGGCACGTGAACATTCCCAATGATAATAATTCCGGAAGAAATAGATTACATTTCGATGGACTTTTCGAGCGTTTATGATTATATTTTGAATAGGGGTTATCTTTTTAAACAAAATTTATACAAGATTTATATATTTAGAAATGTCGACAAGTTTGACTTGAGCGTACGACTATGTGTACTATCATTTAGCAGACAATGTTTATTTATATCATTTATATAACCAGGAATGACCCCTTACATGCCGTTATTGATCTTCAGAACCATTTCCCATACATACAAATAATCACTGTCCTTAATATCAGATCACTCTCCTTAATTTCTAAATCTCTCTTCTTATCGAAACTGGGAGAGCTTTTTTAGGGGAGCCTTTTTCGGTTCTCCTCTAAAATACAAAAAAACAACTGTAGTAATGTTTGAAACAGTCTACATAAAGTTAAGTTTATATAAACTACAAGTTTATGAGCTGTATTCAGTAATTAAATATCTACCTGTGAGCAAGTTCTTCCTCACTTTCAAATACTCCATGTGGCCTTAGAGCTTCTTCTAATTTCTTTGACAGCTCTAAGTCAAGTGGTTTCGGGTCAGCCAAACTGATTGGTGAGGTAATTGCTACCTCTGACATTCTGAAACAAAAAAAAAAAGAATTATAGATCAGATTTACAATTTATCAATCATACATGTACAGTACCATAATCAATTTTAATTAAAGTCATCAGCTACTTTATTGGAATGAAGTCACTTGTGGACCAACTACTGATAATTTTTAACTGTAATGCTAAACCATATTCAACGGACATGTCATAGAAGTGCTTATACGATACAGACATTGTCTCTCATATTACTGACATACATTTAGTGCATAAATGTTAATTTTTGAAGGGCATATTGTGTAGTATGACCAGTATTTGTCATTTATAAAGATCTGCAGGCGACATAAGTCTCATCAATTATTATCTGTTTAACTACATATCATGTGCCATGTGGGTGCCCTACTGCCCTATGTACATTGTTGATTCTTTGTTCTAGATTAGATTGAACAAATTAGCCTACAGAAAAAATATGATAGGACAACTTTGAATGACAATTAAATATGACTGTGGGGCTGAACTCAATCATATAATAGAGTGTTGCCAATTCTAAATTTCTTAATTCCATCTCTCCTTCCTCTCTGGAGTTTAGTGTTATTATTTCAATAAGTTATATAACTATAACCCGCAATAATTTATTTGATGTTAATTTCGTCTTGTCTGACATGTCATTGCACTAATGTTAATCTAACGCTGTATTTATAATCCAAAATAATTGGACAATATACATGTATTACATCTATTAGACTTAAATTCAATGTAACTTTTTGTCATTTTTCTTTCTCGATTTAATTTTTACTGCGTCGCGACGATGTCAACATTCATACTAAACATGGTAAAACGAATCTAAATTCAAGCAAAAGACAATGACAATGTTTCTTTGTACCTGCACGTTTTGGTATCTAGTGTAATTTAATAAACCTCAATCCATATATTTATAAAAACGTAAACTTTTTATAACTTGTTTAGAAAAACAAATGAAAATGTACTAAACATGGCGCAACTTTACGATCCCGCAATGCAATTCAACTTCCGCTGTTAATGCCTCTTACATCCATGAAAATATAACAATAGATCTTTTAAAATCTATCGAATTTCAAATTTTTACTTCAAATAAAACTATATTGATAACAAAAAACGTAAATTATTATATTCAATATAACTTTGAATGTTTATCATCTATTCTTAAATGTTGACCCACTTTTGTCCTTGATGTTAGCGACAGGATTAAAGATCAAAACAAAAATGATCTTGGTTTGTCTGACAACAATGTTGGTATTAATTGAGAGTAATTGGACAGACAACCAACAAAATGACCAGCAGGTTATTAGGGGTAGCAACTAACGTCCTAGAATGGACGGGATTTTTTCTACAATGGACAGTGTCTAAATTGAAATATACTGTGCTAAAAATATCTATTATATCTGGAATATTAGTGTTCTTGTTGTGGTTATCAATTTTTGTTTATGCCAGTTTTTATTATATATACATGCCCCATGCTTCTCATGTAAACGAAGCCTATTTTGAGTTTGAGTAAGTTGACTTTAATTTTATTTAATTGATTGAATTTATTTTATTGATAGTTTTAAAAAATGCATTTAAACGTCAGTAGTTAGAACTACTGTAATATCTGGCACTTTTGGAGTTAATGACCTCTAACTCTAGTCTAGTATAAGATAGGGCATACATACAGAACCGCAGAACCCCAGCTGTAGAATACTTTTTTTGTAAAATATGCATTCATCATCAAAATAGTCTGAAACATGAGGGATTACATCTATGTGTATAGACAACAGTATGTGAGGACAAAACATACATAACTTAATTTGAAGGGTGTAATAAGTTTATAAACTACTATATTCTGTATATATCTATAATAATTATTTGTTACAGTGTATGTGAAAATGGAGTTGGAATGTGTTCATTCCCAACTGCTAATGTTTCATTTGGAAAATATGGTCGGGAAGAGGTAAATAACAACAATTTGAAAATTTATCTAATTCAGAATAGATTGAATTAAATTTTGTTTAAATTAGTATAATTTCCACATCATAAAATGAGCAAAGTATTGTGTCAACTAGATATTATTAAAAGCCTTTCTTTTATTTGCATAAGCTTTTAGCATACTTTTTAAGATTTCAATGCAATTAAGTTAATTTTTAATTGCGGGTATTAAAATAACTGACCATCATTTGAGGGATTGCTAATCCCATGAAAACTACAGTATTGTACAAGTTGAATTTCTAAAAGGAATATCAGTCTAAAAATGGTTCAGTTCTGTTTTGTATTTGCAAAGATATACATGTAGAATCTAGTCAATTCAAACCATTGCCACCAATAGGTCTCTTTAATCCAGTGAATCTAAGCTAAGAGATTATCTACCAGTATTTTGATTTCTAAATTAATTTTTAGGCATCCAATTTGAGTACATTTTAGTGTGTTTTAAGCCATGGAAACTTGATATTTTGAAAATTGAAAAAAAAAGACTTTACAGGTAATTATATATAAGCTTATGATCTTGATATTTCAGATATTAAGAGCCGGGCAGACATACCGAATACTGGTAGATTTAGAGTTACCAGAATCCCCGATAAATCAAGAAATAGGTAATTAAATGATTAAGTCTTTATTATAGAAAATACATCTTTTTAATATAATTATAAAATTTTTCAATGTGTTCGATTCTTTTGGGGACATCTCCTTACCCAACCAATTTGTGCTTATCTCCTAAAAATATCTATTCCCCACTCTTTCTATGTATTTGCCACAATATATCCCAGTTGGTACTAATGTGCTATTAAACCACATTCCATTCATTCATTCTTTCTATGTACCGGTACCCAAATGTAATTTTTTAAAAGTCTACAAATCTAACCTCTGAATGTTTTTGATTATTTTCAGGTATGTTTATGGTAAAGGTACAGATGTATGATAGAACAGGCAAATTAACAGCTCGGTCATCTCGTTCTGTAAGTTCTAAATCAGTAAGTTTTTAGAAGTGTATACAACGTAATCTTGAAATACTGGGGGTGGGGGGTGTTTGGCCTAGAAGGTCTGTCATTGGGTTAGATGGAATGGTTTTGATCCAACACTTGTACAAGGAGTTGGGTTGTCTGCCAATCCTCATGGGTTTTTCTGGGTCCTCCAGTTTCCTGCCAGTGCTAAATACCACTACATGTATCTACAAGAGAATTATTAAAATAACATTAAACCATGTGTTAGTCCCAAAATGATCTAGTATTTGAGTGAACATTCAAATGCCATCTCTCGCTCTCTCTCTTTTGATATACATGTACAATGTCATACCACATCGCAATTTAAAATAAAGTTTTATTTCCGTCCCCCAATTTCAGAGAAATGTTTTAAAATGTTTTCATCTACAAGGAGTTGGGTTGTACAAGGAGTTGGGTTGTCTGCCAAACCTCATGGGTTTCTCTGGGTTCTCCAGTTTCCTGCCAGTGCTAAATACCCCTATCTACAAGAGAATTATTAAAATAACATTAAACCATGTGTTAGTCCCAAAATGATCTAGTATTTGTTGAGTGAACATTCAAATGCCATCTCTCTCTCTGTCTCTCTCTCTCTTGATATGCATGTACAATGTCATACCACATCGCAATTGCCAAATTGTTTTGTCTTACATCATACAGTATGTGGTCAAGGATTTGTGAACACCCAATTGATACTCGGCCAAACAAAATATTGGTTAATATCTTTTTGGTATAAAATACTGTCTGCCTATATTTTATTGTCACTGAACTTTTAGGTTAATCTGCTCCAAATACAGATAATCCCAATATAATATCCCATATCATGTGACAATAATACCAGGTGTATTATATAGACAATGATCTGTATACCATGGTTTTATAACAGGTGATTTGTATTCCCCCAGATTGTTATTGTTACATGTATATAGTGTTAAATAGGTTGAAAAGAACAGTAGGCTATTGTCAGGATTACCTATTTATTATATACATGTATCTTGTTTGTAAACAAAACAATTATAAGTAAGTTCTAGTATACATGTCTACACTTTTCAGTAATTATAAAAACTGAATAAAGACATTAAGTCCCTTTCAATATCAATAATGAAATTAAAATATAGTGATTAATTAGTTAATGCTAACAATCAAACCAATTAAGATTATTATATTTAGAGGTACACATGATATAATTTTATTTATTTTAATTGAGGGAAGGTGATAACTGGGTAATAATAATTAATCAATTAAAGTAAATCCATTTCTATACATGTAGTATAAAATTAAAATATTGTGATTATTTAATTAATAATGTTTAATGTGTATATTAATGCCAGAACGACAAAACCAATTATTATCAATTTTAATTGTAGACCTACATGTACATGTACGCATGATCTGATTTGAATCATATAAAGTAATTTTAAATGAGAAAATCTGAATAACAGTAAAATATATTGTTATTATATCAGCAATTGAATTATCCTCATCTATAGTAAAAAATAATTTTTTAATTAGGTACTACTTGTTGGCTATAAATTTTTGGTGTTTTTTTTTCTTGTATTATGTAATTAACCTATGAAATAAAACCCATTTCATCAAATTAATTGGTTAACTTACAGGTACATGGTATTTAAAATAAAGTTTTATTTCCGTCCCCCAATTTCAGAGAAAAGTTTTAAAATGTTTTCATCTATCTTGTCTGTCCATCTATCACATATCTGCTACTGTAATGTATTTGGATGAGAGTAATGAATCTAATTGCATAAGAGGGATGAATATCGGTATATAGTTTCAATACATCAATACCTTGACTGAGTTAGATGATGAGCACTTTCTGCTTAGGTTAAGCAGAGATAAGTAATTTGAGTTTTTTTCGATGCTTTGGGACACAGTAACTTGGTGTATAGTTTTATTGCATAAATACCATGACTAAGTTCGAAAGTGAGCATTTTCTTCTTAGGTTAAGCAGAATGACAAGCAATTTGAATGGTTGAGAATATTGAACACGACAAGTTTGACTCTTAACTGAATAAGAGTGATGAATCTGAGTGTATAGTTTTAATACATTAATACCATCCATGATTAGATTCAATGATGATCATTTTCTGCTTAAGGTAAGCAGAGTAAGTAATTTGTTTGCTCGGAACATCAGCTGCTTGTATCTAAATGTATAAACTTATCAAATATTGATTCTATTACAGGCTGTACTTCATTACCAATCATTTTTATTAAAAATCATAAAAACTTTGGCATTTGCTCCAGCCTTTATAGCGGGTCTGTCCGAAGAAAAACAAATTTTACAAGTGGAAATATTTTCAGCTTATGTGGATGATCTTGTAAGTTTTAAACGTTTATTTTAGAATATTTTTAGTTGGTTTAAAATATGTGAAGGGTCATGTATATAGTAGAAATATTGAAGTTTCATTTCATGAATGAGAGCAGGTTTTAAATCATTCAATATATTAAAAATCTTACTATAGTACCTATACTTTATTTCATCATTTCTATTTCAGAATTATCCATCAGTGGGAACATTAATAGAAATACAGAATAAAAAAATACAAATTTATTCAGCAAAATTAAATATATTTGCATATTTTACAGGGTTAAGGTAAGAAATATGAATATTATGTTAAACTAAATAATTCCATGTACCCCAGAGCATGTACATCTAATGTTTCAGCACTTGAAAATATTCACAACTTGAACTCTGTGTTACACTCAAGAGTTCTGTTATACAATGTATTAAATCCCCCATGTTGATGTTGGTTGCAAGCAATTATAACTACCGGTAATGTGGCAACATTTTACTGATTAACTGTCAACAGAATCAAATGAATGGGGTAATACATGTGCCTAGAATTAAAAACCGTCAGCAATTGTATCTGTTTGAGGTATTTTATCAACGAGTCCGAGTGAAGATGCGGAGTCCACATTCAATCTGATTAAAATACAGATCTATAATCCGTTTCATTTTTTTTTTTTTTTTTATAATTTTAATGGCCTACACTACATGAAGATCTGACCAGTTGTGATGGGAGGTCGCATCAAAGGTCATACGAGTGGCTTTTGACGTCAGACATTGATTAATCAACCAGCGTTGACATTTCTAGTGTTTTAATCAGATGGGTCCACATTCCACTTCCCCCTTGTACTGGATAATTGGGTGTCAGGAGGAAATGAGAATTGTAAATTAAAAATTTTAATGTGAACATGATCGTCTCAAATTACATGTTCTCATGGAAGGAATTGTTTGATTTTTGCCAAGTAAAGAGTTCAGACTGCTGTCTTTTCAGATATAAGCATTTCCTATAATCACCTCCATAATTTTTTCATTCATCAGTAAGGAATGGGTTGCATCTGTAAATGCAGAATGTGATGGGACCCCAACTGGTCCCATAGACCCCACCAGGTTAATACAACCCTGCCAATCATCTTGTAGATTTTATTTTAATGCCAACCATTTCTCCGGGTCCTCCGGTTTCCTCCCACGGCTAAAGACCGCTACGCGCAAGCGAATTGTTGAAATAAAATTCAAGCATATGTTGGTCCCGAAATGACCTAGTTTGTGTCGAGTGGACTTAAACCCCATCCCTCTCTCTCTCCAACCATTGACACTTTCAGATCTGTTGACTATATACATATGTATATTAGTGCTAAATAATTGACACATTTTAGATCTGTTACCAATCAATGTATATTAATTCTATATAATTGTATAATTTCAGATATTATCTATTTTATTGGCCAGCTTCAAGTGGTGCTGTGGGCATTGCGTGTAATTTTGTATTTTTTTGTGTAATAGCTGCTTTATCGTGGTATAAATATTTCTGTGAGGAAGAGGAAGAGATAGCAGATCCAATATTATTTAACAGACGGTATTCATTATTTGATCGTAGAGCTAGGATTCAAGCTCAATTAGATCGAGAGAAAGGTTGGTATTACTACATGTGTATATATAACTGCTTGGGTGAATTAATATTAGGGAGTCGCAGTTGCTGATTTAGGCAATCCAGGAGGTCCCACAATTGATCTTGGTATTTGTCAATTAAATTAATGGCTGCGAAGCATACTTGTATCATTTTCATTTTTCCTAAAAAACCTTCATTTTATTTTATAAGGAAAAATGCTATAGTAAATTAAATTTTAATTAACAATAGTAACCTAATAAATACAAAAACATAATATGGAACACAATTAAAGTGACGATTCGTTGATCATCATTTGCTTGAAAATGTTGAGAGAACCCTAAACAAAGCGTTGCTTTAATTGTGTTCCATATTATGTTTTTGTGTTTATTACACTGTCAGTTGCTAAATGCTGCTCAAAAAAGATAATAGTATTTTGCCAGATCTGCTAAATATTTTTCTGGGATAAACCTGGAATATTTGGAACCCAGTCCAATAAATATCATGATGTGAGCCATAGTGGCTCAGTGAATAAGATGCAGATTCATTTACCAGGTCTTGGGTTTGCTCCTGGTGTTGACCGAGAAAGTTCGTTTGGTTTTGGTTTAATCTCTCCCCCCCCCCCCCCCCTTTGTCAGCGGTGCAGGACAGGTCTGGCAAGGATAGTGTCTAGTAATTCGGATGGGATGAAAAACCAAGGTCCTGTGTACACATAGACATGCACATAAAAGAACCCTTCACAGTTGGAATTCGAAATAAGAGTAAGTTGTAGGACTACTGTTCGGGCACACTCTATAGCTAAGTCGGTGGAAAAGAGTGGGTTTTGAAACCCCATTTCATTAATCTAAGAACATAATTTGCTCTATATTTAAGATGAAGCCGAAGAAACAGATGAATCTGCAGACAGAGAAAATGAAGATTTATCAGAAGCTGACAGAATGAATATACAACCGGAAACTGTTGGTATACTAGTTAATGATAATTCACATGATATACAAGATGAAAGTATTGGTTTTCTCTCACCCGAAGGAGAAGAAACTGTTCTCAAATCAGGGGATGTAACTCTTTTAACAGCCACAACCTCAGCTTTGAGACAACGTAGACCTAGTCAACAACTTGTTCATTTTGATCTCCCAAATTAAAAATAAGTTTTATTCCAAAGTTCAACTCAGGAAAAACAGCATAAATGTATGTATGTATGGTTTGATGAATTTGTTTCCAACAAAATATAACAGATCTTCCGAACAACTTTGTTTAACATGTCACTTATTTTATTTTACACCATGTCATTTGAGATACATACATTGTAGTATTAAATTATTGTGTATTATTTAATCCTAAAAAACTAAATGTCAGATTAATCTAATATTAAGAAATGATTCAGAAATCATGGGTTTAAATTTTATCCAATTTGTTCACATCTGTTAAAAATACCTTCCCACGTACAATCAGGGTGATTTGATGATATATTTGGACTAAAAACATATTCAAACTCGTTAATCTATCAAAAATTTGCTTCAAATCCCTCTCACAAGGAAATACACCAAGCTATAAAAAATAGTATAAGAAGTCATGTTTGTATCACATGACTTTGCTTTCACAAATTTCGGGGGAGAATTCATTGCATATAAAAGATTATGTTGTCTTTAATCCCTGTCCATTTACCATAAGTAACGAAATTCTCGGATTGTCCCCTGAACACATCTTTTCCCAAGGTTTTTATCTTAGAAAATGTTGTACATCTTTGTTTAAGTCTCTAACTTTTTCCACGTCCGCTCACCATCAAGTTTATCAACGTATACACCAGTCACTCCCCAACACAGAGAGGTTAGACAATCTATGTGTGCAGACAGTGCTTAATCGTCGAGCTGTCAATTAGTGTCAGGAACCCAGCATTTTTCTTGTAAGATTGGGTGTCTCTACTTTCCATATATACCCCAAAATTGTAACACTTTTGTTTGGAAATAACCACCCAATAAGTACTCTTGTGGGAAAGTATCTTTAACCTTATTTTTAAAAAAAACTATATTTAATCCATACAAAAAAAATATATTCTGGCCCTCAGACAATCCTTCCCAAAAATCTGCTGCGAGAGAGAGTTGGGCCTTTTTTTAGGGTTTTTATTTTGTCAAAGGATCACTACATGGCTTATTGACTTCTATTCACACCAAATTGTTGTTTATAGGAATGTATGATTATCCAGTATCATTTATGATACTCAATAACATTTATCAGGTTTGTGTACTTGATAAATCAGCTTACGGATTCATTCAATTTTTCTATAGATTTACTTCCTGTAACCAGGATAAAATAATTATTTGCCGTAATTAATGAGCCTGTTTATATTTTTTTAAAAATAAAAACAGGTCAAGTGGCCCAGGGTTATCTGAAAACCAAAATAATTTTTTTATATGATGTTATACTTGTAGAAATCTAACAAATATAGAAATAGTGTTATGTACTACGTATATATGTATGTATTGTTCTAAAACTGTCTCGGGGTTATTCAAGTCAAAAAAGCTTCTTAATAACATTTAAGAACAATGGAATGTTTATTTATTTTTTTAAGATAAACTGTGTGCTTTTATCATCATATTTATATATAACCTTTGTTTTATAATTCATATTTTCTAGTTTTAAATATGCACAGAAATGTCATATTTTGTTCATGTTAATGTATATCATCTTTTGTTAATTTTTTAAGTAGGCTATTTTTGTATATTGTATAATTGCATGACAGGCCTCCCACTCCAAAAATATGCGAACCATTCTAATTATTATTATGTGTACACCATAAAATATTTTAATAAATTTTATTATTGTGGACTACCAGTAACCAATATTTTTCTGAGTGACTGTCAGTTTAATTAGCTAGTGGAAGGATTTACAAATACTTGATTCAATTGAGATGCATGCATTATTTTCAAACTATCCCGTTATTCATTTGTTTGAGTATGATTCTGTGATATGTAAATAGAAGAAATCGAATTAAAAGATTTGTAGACAATTATAATAGATTTATTTATTCTTTGATCAAAATCTATGATCGAAAACTATATAAAATAAAGTTTACATAACTACAACAGTGTTTGCGATATCACTTCTGTGGAAGAAGACGTCAAAGTACCAAGATACTACTACCACAACTACAATAGTTCAGTCTGATTCTGTAGCTTGTAAATGTATGATGTTTTGATAGATGTTCTATTCCGTCCCACAGTATCAAAGAGCACAATGTCAGCTAACATGATGCAGTCCGATTCCAAGGCTATGCAGGAAAGTATCTGCGACATGTTTCTTTGACTATAAATGGATCCTTGATTGAACGTTCAGAAATCGAGTTCTCTCAATCCCCAATATAGTGACAATCAAGTGAAAGGGGGTCCCACAGTACCAAAGAGCACACTGTCAGCTCACATAATACAGAAAAGTATCTGCGATAACACATAAAAATGTGTTTCTTTGACTATAAGGGGATCCCCAATTGAGCGTTCCGAAATTGAATTCTCTCAATCCTAAAAGTATTGTCAATCGAGTGAAAGGGGGTATTTAAAGTTACAACGCATGTGCCGACTTTAAAGAACTAAAACGGCTGAAACATATTCGTAGTGTTTCATTACGTCATGATTCCACTTTACTGACAGAACTGTGACAGGACTGAATTCTGCATCACTTGATTGTAATTCTGTCAAGTCCCGGACTGACAATCATAGTATCCCCTAACTCAAAGTCTCAACAAGTGACAGCTAAACAAAATGATTCCAAAACTGTAGCCTATATATTTTTTGGGTTCTCATGTTGAAAGTATCTGAAGACCTTTCCAACTACCGGTACAGATCTGACGAGACGCTCACATTTTCAGGTTAGTTTAAATTTATTTAGAAGCCTGTATCTATATAAAAGATATACTGATGAAAACAGAAGTCCACTAGAATAACCAATCAAATTTCCAATAACACAACTTATTGGCCAAATCTGAAAAAAAATTAGAAAAACATATAAATTTAACAGTTTCTTTCTTCTTTCATAGTTGAAATATAATTGAAACCCAACTCTTTAAGTGGTTGTGGGTGTTGACTGTTGAGCTCTGAACATATGGTGCTTGGGACCGCCTTCCCCTTCCCTCCCTGAACACACTACTGTCAACAGAAATAAATATACAGTACGAAGTCCTACAAACTGCTTATGTACTTTAACTGTAAACGGGAATTTGTAGTTGATGATATTTAAAAGACAATACAGCACAAATGCCCAGCAAAACATAAAAACAGCACAGACAATCCTAAACACCCAACAACAAATTATATAAGGTATAACATAATGTAAGAGAAACAATTATTCTGTATTTCCAGATGGATGCTACATACGACCCTACCATGGTGTACAACAGAATGTCTCTATGACAGATGAGCCAAATATGCACCGTTATCTCCTTGTTAGCCATAATCAGAGGCAATCTTTATAATATTGTTTGCACATATTTCCATAAAGTGATCTTGCTAGGTCATTTTGGGACTAACATGGTTCAATTTAATTTCACTAATTCATTTGCATTTAGGGGTCTTTAGTAGTGGGGGTACTTAGAGGACCCAATGAAAACCCACGATGTTGGACAGGTGACCCTACTCCTTGTCACTTGCACATTTGGGATCAAAACCATGAAACTTGAGTAAACAGCAGATCTTATGACCTAAAGCGCATGCATTAAACCATTCAGCCACCCAACGCCCCTCACATTATTCAGAATCTGAAGATTGTTCAGAGAGAAGCTATTTAATGTTCTAAAGCTAATAAGAACCCACCTGCCATGGTCTATCCCAATCTAATGGAATAGGAAATGCTCCCATCCATGCTCCTAAAACAACCATAATACTAGTGATGTAACATATTAATGGAGCACCTACTTCGTAACTGAAATGAATTAGGTTTAAAAAATGAACAGTCCAACAGTTATTATCATACTAATAATAATCCTTTTTAAGAGAATTTTTCTGGTATATTCTATGACATGTTTATAACATAAACATGAAGCCTACGTTGATGAGCAGTCTACCATTATTGATTTCAAACTATTGTCAAACATTATCGCATCAGACATTGAATATATATAGAGAGAGAGAGAAATGGGGATTAATGTCCACTCGACAGAAACTAGGTCATTTCGGGACTAGCACATGGTTCAATTTTATTTCAATAATTTGCTTGTGCATATGGGTCTTTAGCAGTGGGAGGAAACTGGAGGACCCAGAGAAAACCCACGAGGTTAGACAGGCGACCCTACTCCTTGTCATGTACAACTGGGGAATCAAAACCACATCAGTTGACTCAATTACAGACCGTATGATACAGCGTGCACATGCTAACCATTTGGTCATCCACCCCCCTACACTGAATATAGACAAATCCTGTCGATTTCTAATGGTTCAATTGAAATCCTGATGCACAATTTGCATTTTTTAATAAAGTATCAAATTGCCCACGGCTTAATCCATGTTAATACAATGTATGTACTCAGATTGAATTTTAACATTTAATCAAAACTCAAAATACCAACGCTAGATGATGTCCCAGCTTGGAATTAAAAAAAACAATCAATAAGTTTTCGTGGACAACAAAATTGTAGCAGGATTATTGCATTGCGAGCTGCATATATCAATGGAATTTCAATTCCAGATACATTAATAAGGGGATACATCATACATTAAGCAGAGTATGCTTACACTACTTCCCCAAAAAACTATATTTGCTCAATTTACACTTTCATTCTTATTGTGGTTTAAAGGGACAATAACACTCTTGCTGGCTTGACAGCTCCAGAAAATAAATAATAGCCTTATTCTAAGTATTAGATGTTTAAGTGTCCTACCTGTTGCGTAAATTATCCATTACATCTTATTTTACTTGTCCAGATGCTTTGAAAATATTTTTAAATACAAGTCACATTTGAAAAGGTTTACGTTAGGCTTTTCAAATCATTTAGTTGAATTTTTCCAATTTTTTTAAATTAGGTGTGTTAAGATGAAATTTGTATCATCAATTAATTGGAATATTGTAAAATAGTACAATTTGTTGACCAGAATAAAGATTGGGACATATTATTCAGTTACAACAAGAGTGGTATTGAGCCTGAACATTGTTGAAGTTGTTTAGATCTCCATGTATCGCATTTATGTACCATGACAAATATTAGTTACATAGACCAGTGATCAAATCAGAAAATATCTCTTACCTGTTTAATACAAATACTTTCACCCAATTAGCAATATCTGTACCTAGAGCTAGACAGCATGGTAAAACTGTTGTAACAGTCAACAATATTGCTAAGTGAAATGTTTCATTGGTATGCCTAAATAAAGAAAATTATTAGCTGTTTTAAGACATTAATGAGTCAATCCCGTCAATATTTTGCCCGCCGAATTATCTTCCAGTAAATGTCTCATAATTATCTTCCCAGTAAAATTTCTCATTGATTTTGGCCTGAATAATTATCAGAGTATACACACGATTCTAGTAGAAGAATGTGTGCCAATACAAAAAGTGTGCATTGCTAAGAACATATTTTTCCAGTGAAAATTGTATATGATTACAGTTATATACTTAATCTAAATCAAACTGTAGAATTATTTGAAAATATAGATGAAATATTGTTGTATTACTCAAATATTAAAGACTTCAGTTTTTACTTACTGTAGAAAAGGGGCACCAAATACAACTGCTACTACATAGAAAAATGCACAGGAAATAACCATTAATATGACACATTTTGCCCAATCTATCAGCTTTTATCATATAAACAAAAATGAACAAAATTATTTTTAATAAGGATCACATAAGAATTTGTGATTAGAATGTGATATGATGTACCAGTATAGTATTTAACAAAACAATGGTGTCTTGTAGTCTGGTTTACCTGACTGTTTGGGACTGTTCAAAAAGATAAGGCTCTATTTTTTGTTAGTTTTTCCAGATCATCAGAAAGGTTCAGAAGTCTATTAGAATTTTTATAATTATTCTATCTTATTATGCATGGTTTAAAAGCTAAATTATTTTCAAATGCCTCAGACCTTTCTGTTACGGTACTTCTCTATCCAAGACTCTCAACCTGCAGCTATTGTTATTTCTAAATTTGAAAATATGCGATATTGGTAAGTGATACGATTTCAATTTGGACATGTCACATACCAAAATGGAAGCTGAAGAAAGGTCTGAGATAAATTTTTGGAAAAGGTAAAATAACTAAGAATTTGTTCAATATTTAAAGAGGTTTGGAGTGAGAATCTTAGACGGGACTATGGCTGGTGACCCAATATACTTGCAATCAACAAATGTACCGGTAATTAAAAAAACATTGAAATGTATTTGACCATTATTATATGATTTTTGGGATGTAATTAATTATATTTTTATTACTTATGAAATCTTCCATTACTCATAACATAATCATTACATGACCATAATGCAAAGCGCAACGGTAATGACTATATTCTGTTACCATTCCGCCATTACTCCTGCCCTGTGTATGAGTTGTTCTTCAAGTGTTTAATCACCATTTCATAACATCACAGTTATCTCACCATCTTTATTTAAAACTATGGGGAATTTACATAACTGTGAACTGAGCTAAACTAAAGTTAAAAGTACTGCAGTAACTGACCGAGTAAGTGTAGGCTAGTTTTATTTGTTGAGAATTCCAAGAAATAATAAGCCTGATCATGCTCCCTATGCCCTCCCCCTCACACACATAAAATCTCCAAAAACCGTTATCCACATCATTATGTTAATCTTATCAATCAGGGCATCGACATACCTTGAACTGAACTTTTTCTTTATTCAGAAAGTTTGTAAACAATTCCAATCCACTTATACAAAAGATGTCAACTTTTATGGCTAGTAAACTGTTATCTATTAGACTCAATCGAGAATTTGAAATTTTTGCAATAAAAAGTAGAAGAATGCATGAAATTGACTTGATGACATTTCCTAAAACAATTAATTTAATCGTTTGTTTTGATGCCACTTGTTGTTGAATGGGCGCAGCCATCTTGTTACTAATATGAAGAGCAGTTTAAGGGGAGATAACTCAGGTAATAAAATCAGGACTCAGACTAGCAATTATTTGCCCATTGACTTCAATGTTAAATGGCTGTAACATCACAGGCTGTAGCTTTTTTCTCAACATTCCGTTGGTTCCAATCTTTATAGGCACAATGGGAACAACATTTGGCAATCTCCTCATCATAATTTTGTAGGGGGTTGACCATTTAGATTTTTTGCTACACGGATTTGAAGTTGACTGGGGTGAAAATCTCACTTCCGACACAATGACTGCTCTGCAGAAAGACACTTTACACCCCCTATCCCTCCGCTGTAATATCATCAGTATTACCCAAAACTGCTATGAAATTGCAAATTTGATCCCTTTTCTCCAATTCTAGACCAAAAAGTCAACCCAAAAATGCAGGAAGAGGGGAGAAAAAAATTAAGGGAAAAATTGTCTATTTATAACTCGCACTACATTCGTCCATCATGAAATAAGGGGAAATAATTACTAGTCTTAGTCCTATATACCTCACATGTTTCTGCAGTTTAAACAAATCTGTTGTTATCTAATAAACAAACATATATGCAATTCCCTGACCAAAGAATATGAAAATCTATGCATTTTCAGATGAGCTGTGCGGCATTCTGCAAACACTATAATGCATCAGAAAACTGCGGAATTTCAGACAGAAATTTAAAAGCACATGAATTTTGAATTAAACAGAACATTTTTATTTTTGAACATAAATGCATTCTGTAAAAAGATGAGATAAATTCAATATAAATCAAACACGAAAATACTTTAAAACAGTAATCATGATGCAATATTAGACTTTTTAACACTTTCATCGAAAACCACACAGTTTTTCTCTGTTAACGTAGTTTCAAGTGCCAAATTGTGGTCAAATCTAAAATGTTGAAACATGCAGTGCCTATCAATTTTAAAATATCTCCTATATAGCTGTATTTCCATAGGATAAGTAAGTTGAAATAATCTGATTATGTAACACTACAACAGCTTTTTCATCCCTACCCCCCAGTTTGGAATCTGATAATTTAAAAGCACATGAATTTTGAATTCCACAGAACATTTTTATTTTTGAACATAAATGCATTCTTCAAAAAGATGAGATGAATTCAATATAAATCAAACACGAAAATACTTTAAAACAGTAATCATGATGCAATATTAGACTTTTAACACTTTCATCGAAAACCACACAGTTTTTCTCTGTTAACATAGTTTTAAGTGCCAAATTGTGGTCAAATCTAAAATGTTGAAACATGCAGTGCCTATGAATTTCAAAATATCTCCTATATAGCTGTATTTCCACAGGATAAGTAAGTTGAAATAATCTGATTATGTAACACTACAACAGTTTTTTCATCCCCACCCCCCGGTATGGAATCTGATACATTGCTGACCAATCATAGGTCGCCCCGTTCACTCGAGCCTGTCAAATGATTTACAATGGCGATGGTGCCTACAACTTTCCTGACCAAGAGATATGCACAACCGTCGATCAACACACAAGCCATTAATGTTATCTTCCAATATGAGAGGCCATGATAAACACACAAGCGTCCTTTTCAAGCTCGGAAATTAAGTCATCACCAAAAAGCAAAGTTTACAGAGGTCCCAAACTGATTACGATTTGCCCTCCACTTCCACCACAGGTGTCATAGAGATCAGGGATGAAATTGATATGCATCATCGTTCTCCTAAAGCCAGTCCAGGAAGAGATCAGGTTTTGAGATGTAGACCTGAAATGTTAAATTTGGATGAGAATGAGAATTCTGGGGCGAATACTATCCAGGGAAATGGTCATTGACATCCAGAAAATGGTCAAAATGTGGAATTCTGTCATTCAGTTAAATGTCAAGGGGAGAAGACAGGCCTGTGCAGTACCAAATTTCCAGCCCATTACTATTAGTGAGCAGAAGTGGGGATGAGGTTGGATTTACTTCTTAAAGTGTATGAAATGCACATTTATCTCACCTGTTTTGCTTCTTTTTTTTTAATACTTGTGTTGAGGTCAATCATTCCACTCTATGAAACATTGCCCTGGCACCTGAAATGATAGGAGGCTGGGGATAAATATGCAATAAAAAACAGTGAGAAAATAAGAAAAAAATATGGTTTCAACTGGAAATAGAAATAAACCTCTTTATTTCTCGCGAACAGCCCGTCACTGGCCCTCCAAAAAGAAACCAGTTAACAATCAGTAAAAAAGTAAACCTTGAGTGTCACATAAGTCTAAGCCAATCTCAAAGGTAGATGCCATGTTTTGAGGTTCGGTCTAAATATTAAGGCCAACTGCATGTTTGGTCAAAAGTCACACAGGTGTGAATTTTGGAGTGTACATGTTAACATTTCATTGTATGATGTCAAAAACATGTTAGGTCTAAATGTTAAGGCCAACTGCAGACTTGGTTCAAGGTCACAACATGTAAATAGGGTTAGGGCACATGATTTTTTTACACAATTGTGGGTTTGGGCTAGGGTCAGAACTAGGTCTTGGCTTAGGCCTAGGCTACATGCTTTTTGACAAGATTGTGGGTTAGGGTTAGGGTAAGGACTGGGTCTTGGGTTAGGGTTAGGGTCAGCCTTGTTTACATCTCGTGACTTTAGACCAAATCTGGAGTTGAGTTGGCCTTAATATTTAGACCTAACCATGTTTTGATATCATTGTGAAGAAAATGTTACACATTTACAACCCAAAATTCACACTCAACCAACGGATACCCCCAATCATGGCTATTTTGATACCAAATAGTCAAAAAACTTACTGCTGGGCAATAAAAAAGCAGTATTCTTACTATTTCTGACACTTTCCATTCAAAACTTCAGGAAATAAGCCCTTGAAAAAATATCAACATCCCGAGTCGGCCATGTTTCTTTATCTCATCAGGACTCAGACTAGCAATTATTTGCCCATTGACTTCAATGTTAAATGGCTGTAACATCACAGGCTGTAGCTTTTTTCTCAACATTCCGTTGGTTCCAATCTTTATAGGCACAATGGGGACAACATTTGGCAATCTCCTCATCATAATTTTGTAGGGGGTTGACCATTTAGATTTTTTGCTACACGGATTTGAAGTTGACTGGGGTGAAAATCTCACTTCCGACACAATGACTGCTCTGCAGAAAGACACTTTACACCCCCTATCCCTCCGCTGTAATATCATCAGTATTACCCAAAACTGCTATGAAATTGCAAATTTGATCCCTTTTCTCCAATTCTAGACCAAAAAGTCAACCCAAAAATGCAGGAAGAGGGGAGAAAAAAATTAAGGGAAAAATTGTCTATTTATAACTCGCACTACATTCGTCCATCATGAAATAAGGGGAAATAATTACTAGTCTTAGTCCATCTAACTTCGGTTTATTCTAAAGATTACCATGGTAAAATAGAATTCAAATGACAGCAGATGGACACATTCAAAGAGAATTAGTTTTTATATCTTTTATTTTAATACCAATTGTACAAATATCACAAATCACACTGTAAAGCATACAGGTAATATGAAAAAAAAACAACAGAAAATCAATAACAGATCACAGTAAATCAAATCAATCATTTAATAATTTTTCAATTTTGAGAAAAAAGAATTGAAAATTTGGTAGTGTGCTTGCAAACTGTAGGAAAAAGTCAAAATAATGTTTATTAAATGACTATAGATTAGTTTAATGGCTGCAATTGTGTATTTCATTTACATACATTCCTTAGTTTATTACGGTTTTTATTACCGTAATTTGTTTCAAATTTTACATTACCCTTACTAAAACACATAACACCAATTCTATGGATAACAGTAGCTTACTTCTGATTGAATGTAATGCTGCCAGTTCATCTTTATTACCTGAAGATTACGCCAGTACAAATATTATCCATACATCTAGTAGGTCATAATCTTGATAACGATAAAAGGATACTTTTCGTAACGTCGTGCTTTTAGAATAAAACCAGTGATTGTTTCACATAAAAATTGTGTTCTGTTAATCTAGTCTTAGGGCCTATGTATTTTGGTGTTTATTTTACTTGTAAATATCATATAAATATTATATAAACAGCCTAGCTCCACTTTACTAACTTTATTATAAGTCCTATTATATGTGCCACTCACCGATAATTTGTATTCAATAACTTTAGAACTACTTTAATGATAACCACAGTCAAACAAATATAAACAAAAGCACCAATGAAAAACAGCAAAAAATTAAATAAACAAAAACAACTAAAGGAAAAACATAATAAAACATAATACTAATAAAAAATAAACAAACATGTATTACTAATGACAATATTATATATTATAATATGCAAAATCATTAAAGAACCAGCGGCTGCCAGGCAGGATACGCCCACATTTTCGAGAGATGGATAGGGAACAAGCTAAAAAGGAAGTGATTTTTCCTACAATCAAGGGCCATAATTCAATTCGATATGCGCAAATATCGAAAGGAACCGAGATCTTTGGGTAATAAACTTACATTTCAAGTTTCAACAAAATCGGATAAAAATTGTGACCTCTATAGGGCCCACAACCTTGATATACCATATTTTTACGCTATTTGAGAATGAACGGCAGCCATTTTGTCTGTCAATTTTGGGCCGATTTTCATGAAATTCAAACTCAGTCGTCCTTAGGGTGTAACGGTGATATAATAATACGTTTTTTTAAATCGGATAAAAATTATGACCTCTATAAGGTCCACAAGCTAAAAACGTGATTTTTCGTACAATCAGGGGCCATAATTCAGGAAATTATGGTCCGATATGCGCGAATATCGAAAGGAACCGAGATCTTTGGGTTATAGACTTACATTTCAAGTTTCAACAAAATCGGATAAAAATTGTGACCTCTATAGGGTCCACAACCTTGATATACCATTTTCTTACGCTATTTGAGAACGAACGGCGGCCATTTTGTCTGTCAATTTTCACGAAATTCGAATTCAGTCGTCCCTAGGGTGTAACGGTGATATAATAATACGTTTTTTTAAATCGGGTAAAAATTATGACTTCTATAGGGTCCACAAGCTAAAAACGTGATTTTTCGTACAATCAGGGGTCATAAGTCAGGAAGTTACGGTCCGATATGCACGAATATCGAAAGGAACCGAGATCTTTGGGTTATAAACTTACATTTCAAGTTTCAACAAAATCGGATAAAAATTGTGACCCCTGTAGGGTCCACAACCTTGATATACCATATTCTTACGCTATTTGGGAACGAATGGCGGCCATTTTGTCTGTCAATTTTGGGCCGATTTTCACGAAATTTGAACTTAGTCAAACTTAGGGTGTAACGGTGATATAATAGAACGGTTTTTTAAATCGGATAAAAATTATGACTTCTATAGGGTCCACAAGTTAAAAACGTGATTTTTCGTACAATCAGGGGTCATAAGTCAGGAAGTTACGGTCCGATATGCACGAATATCGAAAGGAACCGAGATCTTTGGGTTATAAACTTACATTTCAAGTTTCAACAAAATCGGATAAAAATTGTGACCCCTGTAGGGTCCACAACCTTGATATACCATATTCTTACGCTATTTGGGAACGAATGGCCGCCATTTTGTCTGTCAATTTTGGGCCTATTTTCACGAAATTCGAACTTAGTCAACCTTAGGGTGTAACGGTGATATAATAGAACGGTTTTTTAAATCGGATAAAAATTATGACTTCTATAGGGTCCACAAGCTAAAAACGTGATTTTTTGTACAATCAGGGGCCATAATTCAGGAAGTTACGGTCCGATATGCACGAATATCGAAAGGAACCGAGATCTTTGGGTTATAAACTTACATTTCAAGTTTCACCAAAATCAGATAAAAATTGTAACCCCTATAGGGACCACAACCTTGATATACCATATTCTTACGCTATTTGGGAATGAACGGCGGCCATTTTGTGATTTTTCGTACAATCAGGGGCTATAATTCAGGAAGTTACTGTCCGATATGCGCAAATATCAAAAGGAACTGAGATCTTTGGGTTATAAACTTACATTTCAAGTCTCAACAAAATCGGATAAAAATTGTGACCTCTATAGGGTCCACAAGCTAAGAACGTGATTTTTCGTACAAACAGGGGCAATAATCCATGAAGTTTCGATCCGATACATGCCAATATCGAAAGCAGCCAAGATCTTTTGGGGATAAACCTATATTTCAAGTTTCGTCAAAATCGGATAAGAATTGTGACCTGTAGAGAGTCCACAAACAATTGTGGACGGATGGACAGACAGACAGACGGACGTCCGGACGGACAGGGGCGACGGCATAATACGTCCACATGAAAATGTGGGCGTATAAAAACAAATGAAATAATATAATATAAACATAACCACCAATGAAAAATAGAATGACAAATAAAATAATCTTAACAAATTTTGACATTTTTAATATATCAGTTAATGTAAATTGCCATGTAATTGAAAGCAGTCAATGTACATACAGAGCTTATAGCTCTTAAATAAAATAACTATCCATAATCCTATTATTACTGGAAATTAATATATAGCTGTATACAAGTTGCAGATGGATGTGATACCGTACTTACAATTATAGATGTATTCAAGTTGGGGAAGGATATGGTAATTAAATATACATTATGTAAGATTTAGATAAAGAGCTGACCATTCTTGCTATAATGACTCAGAAAAAGATAATGTAAAATGAAAATATTGAAAATTCCATTCAAATTACTTCATTCTGAGCCAAGTTATCACTGTTTGCAGTTTTGACAAGATGTGTGCATTGTGCTAACCAGGGCACTTGTATATTTGAGACTTAGACTTGCTTTCCCATTTTTAAATCAAATTTTTAAATGGCAAACCAATCTAATTTAGTTAAAATCTTGAGTATCCGATACTTGATTATGGTTTTGTTTTGTTAATAAATGTCTAATATTTCAGGTCTAAATAAAGACCTGCAATAGGCAGATTTAGCTCTTGTGTGTGTGTGTGTGTGTGTGTGTGTGTGTGTGTTTGTGTGTGTGGAAGGATATTATAATTATATATAACCATATACAAGTCAAGGAAGGATATGATCACCAATTCTGTACTATTACGTATTCGTGCAAACATTTAACCTTTTGATACATTTTTCCAAATCAAATATGCTTGATTTGGAATTATTCTTTATGACAGAAAATGTTTTACATACTGTGCCATTAATTTGTTTGTGTTAAATCGACATTAAGTTGACATTAATCTCCCTCTCCCTCTCTCTCGCTATCTCACACTGAGTAAAGTGGCATGGTTTTGATTCCTAGCGTGTATGTGACAAGGAGTAGGGTCACTTTCCCAATCTCGTGGGTTTCCTCTGAGTCTCCCTCTTTCTTCCACAAAGACCCCTACATGCAACTGATATATTGTACCATATGTCAGTCACAAATTGAACTAGTTTCTGTTGGTGGATGTTAAACCCCATTTCTGCATATTTTGCATGTATGAACTTTACTGTTCACCATCAACAGTCCCTTTTAGGTCCTCTTTTGTTGTGTCTATTGTCTCTGTTGTGTCTTTTGTGCCTGTCTTGTGTGTTGTGTCAGTCGAGTCTGTTGTGTTTATTGACATTGTCAGGTCTGTTGTTTCTGTCGTATCTGTTGTGATTATTGTCTTTGTTGTGTCTGATGCATGTGTGTCTGTTGATTCAGCAACATCTTCTGATTCTTCAGCTACTTCTTCTGTTACATCATCACAGTTAATAAATGGCAAAATATCTTCTTCCATTCCCAATTTTACAAATGTTAACAGATCTTCTACAGGTTTTTTGTCTTTTAATAATTCTGATGCTTTCTCTGTTAGGTCATCAATAAATATATCTGATCGAACTCGGAAAACCGGAAGTAAACTGAAATAAAAGATATGTCAATGTATAAATCTGTATATAAACATATCACAAATACTTTACCCCCTAAAGCCTAGCTCACAACAAGCACGGGTCGTAGGGTTTGGTAGCTCACAGACCACCCACAAGGAACCAGGTGAAAATTTTGTATGTGCAGGACCAGAAGTCTCTATGGCCAGTCTGCGATCCTCTAAGGCGCGTAAGACTCTCACACAGGTTTACTAAAATTCCCACCATCACGTACAGCGGGTCGTGATCTATACTTATAAAATTCTTGCAATCTTTTTTGAAATAACAGATAGAGAGAGAGAGAAATGGGGTTTAATGTCCACTCGACACAAACAAGGTCATTTCGGGACTAACATATGGTTTAATTTTATTTACATAATTGGCTTGCGTGTAAGGGTCTTTAGCGGTGGGAGGAAACCGGAGGCCCCGGAGAAAACCCACGAGGTTGGACAGGCAACCCTACTCCTTGCCATGTACAACCGGGGATTCGAAATCACGCCAGTCGACTCAATGACAGACTTTATGATACAGCACGTGCACGCTAACCATTCAGCCATCCAACCCTCCGAAATAACAGATAATTGAAGATAATAGTAAACTGCATGATGAAACAAGGACATAACAAACAATACATAACAGACGCCATAATTAGATAGACATTCCTTGAGCAGATACATTATGCCCCACCCAGAAATATATTTAATGGAATCACATGGTTCTGTATTGTTGGATGACAACACAATAATCTGAGAGACAAATGTCAATCCATTGCTCAGATATTCATATTAAAATTCACATTTTGTAGTAGTTTTCAATCAGCTCAAAAAATGCATTTCTTTATGTAAGACAGTGTTTATATATGTTTAATAATAAATGAGTGTAGGGTTCGGGGGTTTTTTTTCACATTAAAACTGATGCCTCTTTAAAATTGGTACTATACCTATCTTTATCCTGAGATTCTGTCATGTTAATCATTAATGCCACACCTTTATACACAAAGGTAAATCTTAAACTGTGTTTCTCACTCAAATAATTGATAAAATCAACAGTACAGTCATCCTTTGAACAAACTGCAATTATAATTAAATTATGCATCACTAAATGTTGTCGGGCATGTTAACCATAGACATAGCAGAACATTAAAATTTAGTAATAATTGAAAATATGTGCATATCTGTGGCATGCAGACATCTTTGTTCCAACATATTTTGTTTTGAGAATATTATATAAATGGAAAAAGATCTCTAGCCATCTTGCCACAGAATCATGCTCCAGTTTGCTATTTTGAATTTTATAAGACATGTCTGTAAGCTCTTGTATTAAGATTGGTGTGTATTTTGTATGATTTTCCATACACCTATTGTTTAAGCACTAGCTGGTTTGAATTTATGTAATAAAGGGTATGCCTATTAAATTAAAATTAGTATATTAATTACCTTGTTTTTGACATTTCAGCTCCCTATACCAACTGGATAAATGACTAGTATCTTCTTGAGCTGTAAATATCAAAAATACATTTAAACAAACCAGTTTTGTTTATTTCATTTAGAATACAGACATTCGCTAACTACTTTAGCCTACAACATTTGAGTTACGTAAAAGAAAACCCATAAAACCACATAGTTTTAGAAAGGGACTAAAACATTGGTTTGACTGCTATAAATCAAGCGAATCATTCATTTAAAAGTCCTGAGTTTATTCTATATCATATGTGTGCACAATGATAAATTTTGATTTCCTAATGAACAGCTAATAACACAAGCTGGATTCATAAGAAAATCACCGATTTTGTGAATAAGATAAGTTTATGTGTAAGTTTATCACTATTACCTGGTTGAAAGGATCTGATAATGTCTTTTACTTCTCTCTCTATTTCAACAATTCGTAACTTTTCATCAAGTTCAAGAGATCGCAACTCCAAATTATGAATTTCATTCACTAAATTGTAAATTTCTCTAAAAAACGAAAAAGAAAAGAAAGTATCTTTATTATATGAAGAAAAGAAAGTATCTTTATTATATGTACATAGGGTAAGACATATGAACAGAAATTCTGTTGAACTATAGCTGAGTATACTGAGATACTTGAAATGAAATGGGGTTTGACATTCTACTGTTCTGCTCCTTAATGGATGAAGATGGGCATACACCATACAGTGTGCTATGAGGGAAATTTAGCCCAAACAGTGACACTACAGCATTCCGATTTCCAACTGTCACAGGTTCTTTCATTTGCACGCTAACGTGTACACAGGACCTGTTTTTCATCCCATCCCAATGACTAGATGCTGGTTGCTTGCTATACATCAATGACGTGGGAAAACCAAGCTGGAAAATCCAGACAAACTTTCTCAGTCGTCACTGGGATCAGAACTGGAGGCTTCAAGGGAACTGAACCAGCACCTCACACACTGTGCCACCACGACTCTGGTTTATGTACCTGTTATCTATTGTATCAATGTCAGGTTTATCTCTAAAATATTCAAATGTAGAAACTTCTCTTCCAACCGTTTGTTCCAGTAATAATCTTCTAGCCATTAATCTTTGTCTTTCTTCTTGTAAATCTGACAAATATTTATTCATCTGAAAAATATTCAATTGACAATATGGTAATGGTTATATTCATGAATCATATTTAAAGAATATATGGAGACAAAATGAAAATGCATCCCTACACTTATTTGACTGGAAGTGCTGGCAGGACTTAATGTTGCTGAAATGTGATTTTTAATTGGCATGATTACATGCTGGATATTTACCGACACAAGAAAATTAACAATAACACTACTGGAACAAAGGCCAATCTGCCAGCTGATAACAGGTTTGGATAATATCAAACTTTATATATAGATATAGATATATATATATATATATATATATATATATATACTATTCAAAAAAAGTAGGGGATATTTGATTTTTAAGTGTTATTAAAGTCACCTAATGAAACTGACGAAGAAACAAATGACAAAATGAAATGAAGTTCACATTCATCGATTTATTCCAAATGATCGTTAGACTAAGTAAGGCACAGACTGACCATTATAAGGGTAAAATGATACCCGGGGTCAAACAGCAAAGTTACCACAGCATCACAACCAAGTCAGTAACGGGTAAATCCTCCTCTGTTTGCCAAACAAGCATTGATCCGATGTGGCATACTCCTAATGAGACGTCTAAGGTCATTTTGGTCCAGATTGTCCCATTCCTGTTGCAACGCAGCAGCAAGTTCTTGGACATTGGCAGGACGTTGTTGACGTTGACGTAACCTCTGTCCAAGCATGTCCCAGACATGCTCGATGGGGGAGAGGTCGGGACTCAGTGCTGGCCAAGGTAATGTGGTGATGTTCTGTTGTTGGAGGTAACCTGTAACGATCCTGGCCCTGTGACATCTTGCGTTGTCATCCTGGAAGATGAAACGGCGGCCATGACGTCGTGCGAACGGCACAACATGGACTGCCAAGATGTTGTCCCGGTAGTACTGGCCTGTAACACGCCCTGCAACAACATGTAAAGCCGTTCTTCCAGCAACAGTGATGCCTCCCCACACCATAACAGAACCACCCCCAAATCGATCATGTCTGATGACGTTAACGTCTTGGAAGCGCTCGTTTCGACGACGCCACACCCTCCTACGTCTGTCCAAAAAATCAACAGAGAACCTTGACTTATCTGAAAACATCACATTGCTCCAGCGTCAATTATCCCAGTGTTGACGATCCCTACACCAACGACGTCTTGTCTGAATGTGATGATCTCTCAAACAAGGGATCACGCGAGGACGTCGGGCGCGAAGGTGGCCCCTATGCAGTCGATTCCGAATCGTCTGGCCACTCACTCTCACACCAGTGTCTGTTTGAAGACGAGCGCTGATCTGATTTGCTGTGATGACACGATTTCTCAAGGCCAAGGTACGGATAAATCGATCCTGGGCTTGAGTTGTCGCCCTTGGTCGACCTGAGCGTGGTCTGTCCTGTACAGATTGTGTATCACGGTATCTGGACCATAGCCTGCTTATGACAGACTGAGAAACATTCATCGTCCGCGCCACAACCGCCTGTGTTGTGCCGATCTGTAGCATGCCAAGGGCACATAACCTTTCATTTTGGGTAAGCCGACGCATATCAAAATTTGTTTTCTGGTCACTAAAACAATTAAACTGATGTTTCCACCCTGGAATTCAATGCCACAATGACTGTAACATTCAAAGTCAGAGTCGTGCAAATCTTGGGTTGGACCCCCATGATGATCCCAAGCATCACCTGCATTCCATGCGGTAGCTATTGGTGCGTTTGGGCGTCACATGTAACTGGAAATGTTTCTTCTGTTAGGTTCTATAGTGACTTTTTTCGTAGTCATTTGCATATTTTAGTATTATGCCCCCAAAATCAAATATCCCCTACTTTTTTTGAATAGTATATATATATATATATATATATAAGAGAGAGAGAGAGAGAGAGAGAGAGAGAGAGAGAGAGAGAGATGGGGTTTAAGTCTACACAACACAAACTAGGTCATTTTGGGACTAACATATGGTTTAATTTTATTTCAATAATTCGCTTGCGCGTAGGGTTTTTTAGCAGTGGGAGGAAACCGGAGAAAACCCACGGGGTTGGACAGGCGACCCTACTCCTTGTCACGTACAACCGGGGATTCGAAACCACGCCAGTTGACTCAATGACAGGCCTTATGATACAGCGCACATGTGCTAACCATTCAGCCATCCACACCACCACCCCCCAAACATTAAAGATAACTTTACAAAAAACCTGAATTCAGCAGATCGTGGAACAATGATTTTAAGAAAACAATACGACTTTTCTATGACACAATCTTAGGACTACGGACAATTCAGAAAAACAAAACATGCGGTTCTGAAAGAAAATAAATGACAAAGTAGCAAATTGAAAATAAATCCAAAACTAACATTAAACTAATGAAAATGTTACATGAGCCCACGGGTAACTCAGAACCGTCTACATCAAATGTTTTTATTTTATTTATTGATGGATAGTGAATATCATGTGCATGACTATTTATACATGTATATAAATACAAGTGGCTGCTGGCAATGCATGTGCATAGGGACTGTTTTGTAGTCACTTTAGAAGTTGTCATTTAAGATTGAACTTTTGTAAGTCTACTTGTGTTGGGGCCGATTTCTAAATTTCTAGTTAATGGGAGCCATGGTGGCTAAGTGGGTAAGATGCTGGCTAGCTCTGGGAGTCGCGGGTTCACTCCTGTTGTTGGCCGAGAAAGTTCAATATTTTCCGGTGATGTTTCCCCTTGTGCAGTAGCTACGAGAACGTAGCTAAAAACGTTGAGATATACTGATGTGTTTGTTTTTAGCTACGATTGGCAGCCTTCAGTTTGACGTGGCAAACTCATTTAGTACACGCCCTTTTTACCATATCCTGAGGTCTGCAATTTATTATCAGGTCCAAAATTGCCTTTTTGATTGGCTGTTATAAAAGCCTAATTTAGCCCCGCCTTCAAAATGACATATTATACGGACGGTCTATATGCTGTTTAAAAAGATGGCGGTCTTAGTAACGGCTTAACGCCTCGATTTTAAATACGACGATTTGTACCCGTTTCAGGTAGGATTATATGCTTAATTGTAGTTGGGTGTTGTAGAAATATTATAAATAACAATAATCAATCGTTGTTTTGATTAAAACTATTGTCAATTTTGTTTAAAAATGCCGGGTGTGAATCGCTCCCGGAGCTGCAACGTTATAGGTCATGGCCTCAGTTCTTAACTCGAAACACGGAGGGTTGAGAGATTAAGGTTTGTTATCTACTTGTGCAGGACAGAGGGTCTGACACAGGCAGTTGTCTAGTCATTCGGATGGGACAAAAAAACGAACGAGGTCCTGTGTACACATTGGTGCACATAAAAGTCAAAGATCCCTTGGCAACTGCAATTTGATATGAGAGTATAGTATATTGCGCCACTGTCCGGGCAAAATTTCCCTCGGAGGGCACTGTATATGGCCTATGCTGGTCTTCGTTAGCCCAGTTGGAGCAGAACAGTAGTGTATTAAACCCAATTTCATTTTATTTCTAATTCTAGTTGTGTGTGACTTTTTTACTTTTTTTTATAAATTTATAATATAAGACATAAGACGTTAAAAAATATTGGACGTATGATAAAATATAAGCTTTACATCATTCAATTTTTCTGTCCAAATCTGAATCTCATCTTCAATTACATTTCCTACAATATTTGGAGCTGACATCGTAAGGGTTTTTTGTTTGACTAAATTTGCAATCTTTCAATTAACACAGCTGTTTCAATTTTTCGTCCCCAAATTTTTAATGCGCTTAGAGTTGTCTCCCGTAGGAATATATTTAGTTATCCAGACTCATTTGTGTCATTTCTATTATATATTTCGTTGTTGTGACATCCAAGTCTACAATGTTTACGACGAAAGCATGGCCAAGAAAAACGTGAACACCAAAAAGATGAAAAATAAGAGTTCTAAGAAGGCTTTCAATATCGAGACTGTTACTCAACTTGGAGGAACAGAGGTGATCTATGTGTTTTATTGTCGTAAACGACCATAATGATACAGAAAAAACTGAAATCAATATTTCTAAATATTGCAATGTGCATGAAATTATTATGGTGGTATATAAAGTATTGGCTAAATTATTATATAGATCTACTGACTGTAGTGATATAGTGTAGATCTAAGTTCTAATCTAAGTTGTATTGTTAAATTTGTAAATAAACTACGCTTTATGAAATACAATCATTTATTTATTGCAGGAAGATTTTAAAATGCTTCAAAATATTGATACTGATGAAGATGACATTGATGAAGTCAAATCAGTGAAAAGTGATGGAAGTGATACAAGAACTGATGTAAGTGTAAGTCAAGGGATGTGGTCATAACGACCAAAATTGGTTTTTTGGCAAAACGGCCCTAGTTTGGTCATAACGACCAAACAGGTTGGTTATAATGGTCGAAAATTTAATGAAAAACAATTTATTTTACCAAATATTACAGACCGTACCCTTGAAAATAACAATCATTGAACAAAAAATAACAATTCACTCATAACATAATCATCTGAACATTTTTTCAACTAATTATTCTATCCAATTAAAATGCTCTTTGATAGGCCTAATCTCTCTGAAGATGGCTACATAGGATTAGTCATGATTAAGAAGTAACAAAGTCTCTAATTAGGTACTTCACACCCCTCTGATCTGATTAGGTAATTTGGGCTAGACATATCATTTGTTTTGGGTGTTTTACCTAAGGTAAAAGAACTGTTCGTAAATAACCCATTTATACCAACCAATGACAAAAAAATAACAAAATAAATAAGAAAAATACAAACAAATTCTCAAACTGGCTCATTAATAAGAATTTTAAAGCTCTTCTATCAAAATAATCTAATAACTTACATAGGTATATTCAATAAGTTAAACATAGTGCAAATGTCAAATGTTCTACCAATCAGCTGTAGTTTCAATAAGGAGTAAATTCATTATAGCAGTCTTGAATTTTATTTATACTTTTAAAGATACATGCATTTCAGCCTATATATTTTCATTTTTCAGATTAAAGAATTTATAAGTAAATTAGGGTTTGGAAATCAAGATAAAAAGAAAAGAACAAGGTAAATTCTTAATGTTTTCCTTTTCTCTAATTGCACAGCTACATCCATATTATAAAACTGATTTTCAGAAACATATCTATATAATTTTGTACTAACTGTTGAATTTTTTTCATATAAGCATATATTTTTGAATAGATCTGTGTAGTTTTTATGAATTATTGTTCTTCATTATTCAAGTAATATCAACGATGCAGATGATGAAGAATCAGATGAAGATAAACCACAAAAAATTAAACAGAAGAAAAAGGAGAAAGTGAAAAAATCTGCATCAAATGATAAAAACACAGATAAGAACCAAAAATCAGTTACAAAGATGACCCCGATACCCAAACTAAAGACAAGAGAAACTTCAAGTACAAGTAATAATAATAAAACACCAAAATTGGAGAAAACTAAGATATCAATTACCGCCTCCGGTCCCACAGCACCCATAAAATCTACTAAAAAGTCAAAAAATAAGTTCAAAGTTCAACATGATGAGATATCTTCAAGTACAACTTCTCCAGAAGAAGAAATCAGAAATCATATAGCATCTTATCGACCCCGGAAATTTCTCATTGTTAAACCCAATGAGGGTTTAGAGGATGACAAGGTAATTTCTGATAATGAACAGAGAATCATTTTGGTTTTAAAAAGAGTTATTCCCCCTTTAATATTTTCATATTTAGCAACCAAGCTATTCAAAGACTACACGTTTTATGCAATGGGTGCACTAAATGTATATTCCCATTTTAAATCAAATTGTCAGGCATTTTAGTTTGGAAACACTGAAGATACAATGCAATTCTGACATTCAGATTAGTTTTGTCATTTATTGTGCAAATTTATACCTACTGTCTCCTAGCTCTATTCATGCTGTGTATTTAGTATCTGGTTTATGCAGCGAGAGGAGGAAGGTTGTGAAGTTTTTATGTATATTCTGGGTCAATAAATAAATGAATTATCAACTGTAATACTTGCACAAGGCTTTGCCACTTTGAGATTTGTCATTACCCATGTTGTATTCTTGTACTGTTATTTGTATGTTTGGTTGGACAGCTACTCAGAACTGCTATTAGACTTATCTGATGTACAGAAGACCTCCACTAGAGAATTTATATCAGACAGAAATTTATATTGTGATTATCTTATTATCAGAGATTTAATTTAAATGTAATATTGATGTATCAACAGGATGCCATGGATAACAACATAGATCCATTACCATTAGATGTTGTTCAAGAAATGGAGAATTTTGCAGCAAAGCTACTCCAAGATGAAGTAGAAACTTACAGAAAGAGTAAGTTGATGTTGAATTTTTAGATCATCAGTTGTCCTAAAGGACCATAGATTGGTTCAACTCAATAACTTTAGCCTGTCTATACAGGCTGTTTCTAAACTTTTGGTAGTTTAATAGTGAAAAGTATGTTGCCGCTACATTTGAGGGACTCAATCAATTTTAATCAGAGTTGTCACCCTTGGTATGAATTGTTTTCTGATCCAATTCAGTTTGTCTCATCACATGTTGAAGTTTAGTTCTTTGAATAGTGAAAGGTTGAGTTTTTAACTTCCATTAATTATCTAGAGGTTACATCTCTTGTCACAGTAGTTACAGGAAGGCTACATTGGATTTTCATGAAATAAAAAACTAAATTTTACGTCCAAAGTATTGTTTATTTTTATATGTACTTACTTCAACGTCTTTATATGTACATGTTAGAAGACATGTATTTAAATTCTACGGAGACTTTTAACAAATATATTTAATTTTAATATACAGAAAAAGATGCATCCAAGAGCTCAGAAGCAAAATGGATTCAGACAGTTTTGGCATCTGGTACCTTGAGTGATAAAATGGCCGCCTTAACCTTGTTGATTCAAGAGTCTCCAGTTCATAATTTATCTTGCCTGGAGAATTTAGTTAATATGTCCAGGAAGAAAGGCAAAAGGGAGTGCATCCTGGCTACAGGTATTATTACCATTTTATTTCAAATTTTTTCCAAATAAGGTGGAGGAATACTGTGTATTCAGAGTTTTGTGATATTTAGCAAATTGGTTTTGAACATTTACGAAAATAAATATGTATGAAATGTTACAAAGGAGAGTTATCGCATTAGTTATGTTATATCTTTTCAGAAACATTGAGTGAATTATTTTTAACAGAAGTTCTTCCTTCAAGCAGAAAATTAAGAAAGTTTAACCAGGTAAACTGTTAACATTTACATGTAGCATCTTTCTTTAGAACAGGGGTCTCCAACACGTGGGCCACTTACGACCTGCGCAGCCTATCACTGTCATCAGATACCTCTTCCCCCAATTGCAGTACGTTGTGGCCGGCTAGATCCTTTCATGTTTTGAATTTGTTTTTATTGAGTCAATAATAATGATGTGCTCCTTCTTGTTAGCCTCTTCATTTAACTCTGGTATTACATGTACATCTTTTTGTGATTGCAAACAACATCAGATGTCTGATTAATAAATTATGATTGTTGCCTTGTGATTAAAGCCGTTTTTTTTACAGTTTTTGTACCTGGGCTTGCCCGAGTTTAACTTTGTGTCTCCTTCTTCACAATGTAGATGTATTTTCAAATAAAATTTGTCTTCAAAAGGATTTTTTCAATGAGTGTGGTTTAGCTTTATGACTATTAAAATGTTAAATAACATATACTGCATGAAATATTTTTAAAATACATGTGTCTGTGTTTTATTTCAGAATCCACTGACATCTCTAGCAAAGAATATGTCTGGACAAAAAGATCTAGTGGATAAAAAGTTGATTTTGTGGTATTTTGAGTCACAGTTAAAACAGAAATATTCTATATTTATAAAAGCACTTGATGTAAGATATTATTATTATTATATCATTTATCCTTGTATATTTACCAGGGCTGGAATACAGAATATTTAAAAAATTGTGCATGTTCTTCTGGGCACTGACTTTGGCAATTACCATTTGAAAATATACATTCTAGAGACAATTCTTTCAATAAACCGTGTGTTGAGTTTTTCAAGTGTTAATTAACAAATAAACTAATGTGGTTTAATTTGATCAGTAGGATGATGCTTAAAGATGCATCATGTAAGATTTAGATAAAGAACTGGCTGTTCTTGCTATAATAGTTCCAAATCAGATAATGAAAAATGAATATGTTGAAATTTTATTCAAATTTATGAGTGTTTGAAATTTTGACAAAATGTTGAGTAGATTCTTTATTATCAACGGTCTTGATTATCCATTTTATGGATAAAATCTTAAATGGCTGCAGGCTTCAAATCTACTTAAATCAGAGCCATCCGATGATCTAGAGAGTTGATTATGGGCTTGTCACGTTAATTGATTTCTATAACATTTGAAGCCAGAAAAAAGACCTACAACAGACAGATTGCGCTCTTACATAATGCATCATTTAATAGGTACTGTACTGTATGTTGATGTTTCCCTCTCCTACCGGGGGTGGGGGGGATCCCGTGTGCTGTATCATACGGTCTGTCATTGAGTCAACTGGCGTGGTTTCGATTTGCCAGTTGTACATGACAAGTAGTAGGATCGCCTGTCTAACCTCGTGAGTTTTCTCAGGGTCCTCCGGTTTCCTCCCACAGCTAAAGACCCCTACGCTCAAGCGAATTATTGAAATAAAAATTGAACCATATGTTAGTCCCGAAATGACCTAGTTTGTGTCGGGTGGACGTTAAACCCCATTTCTCTCTCTTTCTCCTCTCCTACCATGACTATAAGTAATTTTGATAAATTTTATAATTTATATTTTACAGACCATGTCACATGATACTGTTTTAGCCCCTAAACAAAAAGCAGTCAGTAAGTTTGATTTTACTTATTTTAACCGCGATTCAACATAAACTCCGAATAAACATTTTATTAAAAAAAAAATATTTTATTTATCCTTTCATAAAGTTCATTGTTTGTTAAAAAGGAAAGCTCTAAAACTTAGGAAAATTTTAAAGAAGAAACATTTTATTAAAAAAAAATATTTTATTGATCCTTTCATAAAGTTCATTGTTTGTTAAAAAGGAAAGCTCTAAAACTTAAGAAAACTTTGCACTCATACTGAAATGAAGATATTTTTAGCATAAAATGAAAGTAGTCCCATTACAATTTTGCATTCACCGCATAATATTGTATGGATATATTTACTTGTCTTTCAGCTTCTATGTTTAAACTATTAAGTAATAAACCAGAACAAGAAAATGTAAGTTTTTATTTACATTGTATCATTAAATAAAACATCTAGTAGCTTTTCTCGCTTATGTTATTGGAAATCATCCAGGGACATGAATGTTTATGCCTAAGATGTTAAACGTTAAGAAAAGTCAAATATACTCTTTTTAAATGATTATTTAATTTTACATACCTAATCAAAATAAATTCATTTCATCAGTATGAAATTAATGAATACATAGTTAATTGCCATATTTATGCGTCGTCCATGTCTGTCCTTCTAGAGGCTAAAGTAATCCATTTGACTCAAAATTTATGCACAATGTTCATGAGACAAAGAATCCTATTGACTTTCAATAATTTCCGATAATTACTATGAGAGTTATCAGTCTTGTATTTTAAGTGCTCTCAGTTTCAACAAAAGAATAAAATATGACAACCGTTATGGACTTGCTGATGACTTAGCTGCTGTGGGTGTATGTTTCATTGCCTGGCAACCTATCTTTTATATATTTGTAGATATTATTACCAATGTTGGTAAATAAACTGGGAGATCCTGATTATAAATTAGCATCTAGAGCAGCTCATCATCTTAGTAAATTAGGTAAAAAAATCATATTGATTTGATTATTCGTAAATTATAACGCCATTACCAAAAATTATTTATGAGTGGTTTTCGATCACCGACAAATAATTTCAGGTGTTTGCCTAAATGTGCATCACAACAGATTGTCAGTTGTGGTAATGTTCGATTGATTAAAACCAGATACCCATCTCCAAAGCTCCCTCATGTATCTAACCAGTTCTAAATAAGGCCCTTTCTGTTTTTTCTTTAAATATTATTCAAATAATCATCCCTATTATACTATGAGAACCACTACGACTCAGTGAGTAAGATGCTGGCTGGCTAAACAGGAGGTCCAGAGTTCGACCTCATCATTGGCTGAGAAACTACCATGGGATATTTCCAGCGTACTTTCCCATTTTCAATGTTGCAAGGAACACTCAAGTTTTTCAGGTCTGAGGTCCGTTTTACACATTGACCTGCAATATTTCCCTGATAGAACACTGCATGGTGTATGCACATCTTCAGTAGCCTGATTGTTGCATAACAGTAGGATGTTAAACCCCTTTTCGGTGTTTGCTGAATGGTTAGCAAGTGCACCTTGGATCAGAAGGCCTGTCTTTGAGTCAAGGAGCATGGTTTTGATTCCCCGCTTGTATGTGATGAGAAGTAGGGTTGCCTGTCCAACCTTGTGGGTTTTATCTGGGTCCTCCTTTTTACTCCCACTGCTAAGGCCCCTACGCAAAAGTTAATTATTGAAATAAAATTTCACTATATGTCAGTCCCGAAATGACCTGGTTTTTGTTGAGTGGACGTTAAACCCAATTTCATTTCAATTCATCCCTATGATACTATTATTGTTTTATTTACTAGTTGAGCAACATAGTAGAATGACTATGGTTGTTATACAGGAAGTAGAGAGACTACTATATAGACCTAATATATGTAGTAAAGCACAGTAAGTACTATCATATTGTCTTCTCTTCAACAAAACAATAATAATAATATAACAGACACAAAACTTTGAAATCAAGACAATGAATATTGTGTGAAGAAACCTAATTTCTAGAGTCACTGTACAGTTTGGAATCTTTACATCCATGCCACAAACTGTCCAACCTCGTGGGTTTTCGCGGGTTCTCCGGTTTCCTCCCACAGCTAAAGAACCCTACGCGTAAGCAAATTATTGGAATAAAATTGAACCATATGTTAGTCCCAAAATGACCTATTTTGTGTCGAGTGAACGTTAAACCGTTAAGATATACCAATTTATGATTTATTAATATAGTATAATAAAGTAAACTTGTTTTGTTTCAGGTACTATGCTATGTGTTTTTTAAGTCAGATTGTTTTAGATCTTGATGATAAAGAATTAGCTATGAAGCTTATAGACCTCTACTTCTCCTTCTTTACAGTAAGTTTTATAACATTAATTCAAATTTAAATACTCAGGAATGACCTAACAAGTGAACCCACCATTAATTTCTGCACATGTATTTCATAAAATACAACAACTATTTATATGGAATACAATCATTAGTTTGTTATAAATATAGCAAGACGTTACTACAAGCGTTCTTTTATGACTCATTCCTTAGTTTGTTCATTTTTTAGTTCATTCATGAGACTTACACTCCTCTTCCACCATTGTTGATATCACACACAAATGATAGCTGGTAAAGTGATAGGTAATATATATGAAGTAATGCAATAAAACGTGATAGTAGTGCAATTAAAGGTGATAGTAGTGATAGTAATGCAACAAAGGGAATAGTAATGCAATAAAAAGAGATAGTAATGCAATAAAAAGTGATAGTAATGCAATAAAAGGTAATGGTAATGCAATAAAAAGTGATAGTAATGCAATAAGAGGTGATAGTAATGCCATTAAAATAAGCCATACAGTCTATATTGTTAAATATTAATGTTTCTTGTGCTAAATCACTTAATGCCACTTGAGGATTAGATATTTTTATATAGGTACATATATCTTTCATGCTTATTATTGTGAGATCTTTCTGTTGCTCAGTTTGTTACATCTATATTGGAATGTGGGTTGATATTGTTGTCACCCATGACTGTTGGTCATCAACATGTTTTTATGAGTTACTAGAAGAATGCTCGGCTTCGCTCGGGGTCATAACCCCGAAAACGGAAGTGGTAGACTAACGCCACCTGGCCTATGTTACTCCCCGGTCCAAGCTACCCCTATACCCCAAATTTCAGACTCGGGGCAGACCTAGTGTAGCCGCCAACCCCGAACAGACAGACAAACAGACAAACAAACGACAGTCACAAATATTAGTATAGATTGCCATTATTCAGAAAAGCTTGCGAAAGAGACAGAATCATTACTGAGTTGCAGATCAGCCGTGATCAATTTGAGTTAGGAATAAAAATGTTAAGCCCCTATTGATTTATTTCCTATACAACAGTGATCATATATAGCTTCATGGGGTTTATTACCTTGCAAGGAACAGTATCTAGTCATTCGGATGGTACAGAAAATCGAGGTCTTGTGCACATAAAAGAATCTTTAACAGTTGGTTTTACAATAATAAGACTAAGTAGTAGTGCCACTGTACGTGAAAAATTCCTGTATAGAACACAGTATGGGTAAATGTTTGTCTTTATTAGCTCAGTTGGACTAGAACAGTAGGATATCAAACCCTCCTTTTATTTCATTTATTACCATGCTAGACAAGCTGTCTTAAGTATCTTACATGAACAATATAATTGATATTTATTACAGATGTATGTAAAAAAGAGAGAAGTTGATAATAAGATGATGTGTGTATTATTAACTGGTGTTAATAGAGCTTATCCTTACGCTAAAGGTAATATACATAACACTATTAATGACTTTTATAGTGAACCTAATTTCCATTTAGTTTTATTTGTTGATGTGTGCATTATTAACTGGTGTTAATAGAGCTTATCCTTATGCTAAAGGTAATATACTTATATACTTAAAACTATTAATGAATTTTATAGTGAACATACGAAAAGCAAAACTTCCATTTAGTTTTATTTGTTGTTTTGATTAAATATATTAACATACTACCTGTCCATGTAATTCTTGGTTTGGGGGATCACATGGCTAAGTGGGTAAGACGCTGGCTCGCTAGCCTGGAGGTCGGGCTACATTGGCCGAGAAAGTTCATCACGATTTTCCGACGTGGTTTCCTCCTTGTCAGTGATGCAGGACGGAGGGCCTGACAAGGACAGCTGTCTAGTCGTTCGGATGGGACGAAAAACCGAAGTCCCGTGTACACATTGGCGTGCACGTAAAAGATCCCTTGGCAGTTGGAATTCGATATAAGAGTAGGCCGTAGCGCAGCTGCCCCGGGCAAAATTTCCCTCATAGCACACTGTATGGCGTATGCCCCTCTTCATTAGCCCAGATTAGGAGCAGAACAGTAGGACGTTAAACCCCATTTCATTTCATTTCATTTCCATGTAATTGTTGGATTTTAGCCATGTTATCAAATTAATTACAAAGTGGCTATTGTTTGAAGAGTTTGAGCCAAGTTTAGAACGAATTCCAAAATGACTGCCAATCTCACCTACACCAGCTTTGAAAAATGAGCAGTATTTTCAACATTTTCAGAACTGAAATCAGCAATTAAGAGATGGTTAGGGTTAGGACTATTTTTACGACTATTCAGTTTTTAACTTCGCCGATGGAGGGCTGTGAAAGCATCGTCGTAACAATAGCCTGATGACTATTTTTACAACTCGTCGTAACAATAGCCACTGCCAATTAATTAAATTATTATTATAGCGATCATGTTTTAGTCTGTATTTACTTATTCATGATATTTTAAGTTATATTTAGGTATTCTAATAGATTTATCTTATTTTCAGTTGATCAAAGCTATATAAGTGAACAGATGAATAATCTACATAAAGTTGTACATATGGTTAATTTTAATACTGGTTTACAAGCTTTGATGTTATTATATCAGATAATGGATGCAGCGTAAGAATATTTATATTTTGACCATTAATTAGAACATATAAAGAAAATTTTTAAGACAGTAATTTAACACGACTGTAGCATGCGTGCAGCCATTTTCTTCAATTTATCAACTAATTAAATCCCTAAAACATTTTATACATACATATCAATGTAGCATGTTTTTTTAGTTTAACCTATGTTTTATTACGGGGGCCACGGTTGTTCAGAGAGTAAGGCGTTGACTGACTAACCAGGTCCTGGGTTCAATCCTGGTGTTGGTTGAGAAAGATCCAGCAAGGATTTTCCAGCATGGTTTCCCCTTCATAATGTTCGCCAAGACAGATCCTCAGGATTTTCTAGAGTGGTTTTCCCTTGTCAGGTGAAGAAGGACAGAGGGCCTGCTGAGGAATAATGTTTAGTCATTCGGATGCGACCAAAAAAACAAGGTCATTTGTACAAGGCATACCCTTTTTCATTAGCGCAGGGGGGTGGGGGGCTAGCTCGCTAGCCGGGAGGTCGGGTGTTCAATCCCTGCTTTGGCCAAGAAAGTTCATCCAGATTTTCCGGCGTGGTTCCCCCTTGTCAGTGATGCAGGACGGAGCTCCTGACAAGGACAGCTGTCTAGTCGTTTAGATGGGACAAAAAAACAAGGTCCTGTGTACACATTGGTGTGACCGTAAAAGATCCCTTGACAGTTGGAATTTGATATAAGAGTAGGCCGTGGTGCCACTGTCCGGGCAAAATTTCCCTCATAGCACACTGTATGGCATTTACCCGTCTTCATTAGCCAAGTTCGGAGCAGAACAGTATGACGTTAAACCCTATTTTATTTTATTTCATTAGTGCATTTGGTGCAGTAGAGTTGAACGTTAAACCCTATTTCATTTCATTTGTATGTATCTAGTGTTATCGGTGTCAAATTGGTAATTCATCCTAACCATCGACTTATTATTAATAGAGGATTAGCCGTTTACAAACTCTATGTATTTATTATCTTGTGTATCAATCAATATGTATCTTATTTAAAGGTATTTTTAAAAAGTTATCTTTTACATTCTGAGGTTATAGTGTAATTGTTGATTTATTTTTTTTTAGTGAAAGTGTATCCGATCGTTTTTATGTAGCTTTGTATCGTAAGCTAGCAGATCCAGAACTGAAGTCTTCCTCTAAACAAACCATGTTTTTAAATCTGTTATATAAAGCAATGCGTAGTGATGTTGCTACTAAGAGAATAAAGGTAAATATGTGGTTTAGTATCCTACTTTTCTACACCAACTGGGCTAATGAAGACAGACATATCCCATGCAGTGTTCCCTGAAAATTCTTTTGGCCTTACAACAGTGCTGTGGTGTGTTTTTAAATTCGATCAACAGTTGCACGACTGTCAATGCATTTATATTGATAATGAGAAGCTACCCCTATAACCAGAGAAGATTAGACGAACTCCTTGGTAGTAATAGACGAACTCCTTGGTAGTAATAAACAAATTTATTGGTGTAAACGTTTCGGACAAGTGGTGTCTTTCGTCGCCTTCCTAAACCCCTTATGTATCGCTGAGATCCCAGCTTAAATCTCCTCCTACTACTAGTCTCCAGCTACATAAGACCTACTTTACGAGAGTTGTCGTTGTTTTCCGCTGCTTATTTATATTTATAGTTCATGTAAAAGAAATATAAGTAAATACTGGTTTGATTCTTGATGTTCAGTACGTTGTTAAAAATAGAACTAAACTACCATTACTTTGTGATTATTACACCCTGTTAATTATTAGTTATGAAGAAATGTTTGTCTGTTTCAGGCTTTTTTAAAGCGTCTTTTACAAGTGTGTTCGTATCAGTCAGCACAGTTTGTATGTGGTGCTTTGATATTAGTTTCAGAGGTAAGCATAATATACTGTCTTTTTTATATACTGATATTTTAATCAAGCGATTCAGAATGTAGCTACATCAGATAACAGCAAATACACATGGGAATGATGTTTTCACCATCACGTAAACACACCACAGATCAATTCTCTCAAATGCAAAAAATTTAAATCGACTGTGACTGTTGAAAGTCACATGGTGTTATAGAATGAGGCTTTTAAAAAGCTAGGTCAGTCCAACTGATATTACATGTCAGCTGCATTATGCCTTGCAGCACTTCCAGTCAAATCAGTGGTTCATTTTCATTGCATCCCAATATATTTTAAGCTGATTTATGCTTGTAAATAATCTCTTGTCCTAATACTTCACTGTAAAACAAATTAATGCAGCACAAATTGAATTCATTAAATACAACCAAACACGAGAATTATTATATTTCAATACACATTTCTCTTCTTTAACAACAAAATTAGGTAGTTATACAAATTAACCAACATTGTTGTCAAAAAAAAAAAAAAAAACCCCGCTCAAAGCAACAAACTAATCAACAATAGTTGATGGGCTAATTACAAGGTTGTAATTACTATCTGTTGGTTAAACTAGTATATTACTTCATTGTTCAGGGGGGGTGGATGGCTGAATGGTTAGCGTGCACGCGCTGTATCATAAAGTCTGTCATTGAGTCGACTGGCGTGGTTTTCGAATCCCCGGTTGTACGTGACAACCTCGTGGGTTTTCTCCGGGTCCTCCGGGTCCTCCGGTTTCCTCCCATTGCTAAAGACCCCTACGCGCAAGCGAATTATTGAAATAGAATTAAACCATATGTTAGTCCCGAAATGACCTAGTTTGTGTGGAGTGGACTTAAACCCTATTTCTCTCTCTCTCTCTCTCTCTACTTCATTGTTCAGCTTAAAAAAATTACACAATTTTTATGTCAACACTTAATTTCAATACATATTTATGTCAACCACTTTAAATTCACATTAATTTCAATACACATTTATTTCAAACTCCTTAAAGTCACATTAATTTCAATAAACATTTATGGCAACCACCTTAGATTCACATTAATTTCAATTCACATTTATGTCAACCACATTCATGTTGCATTGATTTAAATACATATTGATGTTAACCATCTTCAAGTCCCATAAATTTTAATACACAGTAATGTCAACTGCTTTGACCTCATATTAATTTTAATACACAGTAATGTCAACCGCTTCCAAGTTACATTGATTTCAAACATATTTCTCTCAACGGTTTTCAGGTCACATTATGGGACTTTAATGTCTGGTTTTATAGAAGATTACTGTTAGATGTAAATTGAAAATCTTGTAATAATTTTACTTTCAGATTGTACAAGATAAACCTGGTTTATTAAATCTACACAGTACTGGTGATGTAAGTTTTATAGCTTAGTTATCTTTTCTTGCTAAAACTACCGTCTGTTGTTTTCCTACTTAAACTACAGTACATCATATTCATGTCATAGAATTCTTTGTTTTATTTCTGACTTGTATCTTTAACAACAATTATCTGTCCAGTTCTTATAATCAGAAAATCACTTTTTAGCATGAGGGGTTGAATGGCTGAATGGTTAGCACGTCCCCGCTGTATCATGAGGTCTGTCATTGAGTCAACTGGCATGGTTTCGATTCCACAGTTGTATGTGACAGTGAGTAGGGTCGCCTGTCCAACCTCTTGGGTTGTCTCTGGGGTCTGTGGTTTCCTACCACTGCTAAAGACCCCTACGTGCAAGCGAATTATTGAAATAAGGTTGAACCATATGTTAGTCCTGAAATAACCTAGTTTGTGTCGAGTGGACGTTAAACTCTCTCTCTCTCTCTCAAAATAACCACGGACCTACCCATAGTATTTATATGACTAAGATATAAACCTTATACAAATTTTGTATATTGTCAAAATATGTCACAAATTTGTTCCATACAATCTAATTTGAACACAGGTAATGTAATTGTATGGGCAAATCACTGCAAATTTCCTGTTGTCTGTTCAATATCTTCAAATTCTTAATGCCCTTTATTACAAATTTAACATTCCTGTACATTCTATTGTTAGATGTTTTCTGTTCAATTCATTGCTTTTGTATTGTAAGTGTAGTAATGGGTTTCATGAACAAGACAGGGTGTTCATCCTATTATTAACACATTTGGATCAGTTTCATTTACTGTATAATATCTTTCTTGTAGGATTCTGATGAAGAAGAACATTTTGAAGATTTGCCTGAACCTGAAGAATTTAAAACAACTCGTTACCATAGTGACAGTGAGGCAGCATTATCTGAGGGGGAAGTGGATCTAGGTGATCAACAGTCATCCTGGATTCATCGAAAAAATTTGAATGGTATGTTGTTTAGAAATAATATGCATTGTTGGGGTTTGGCTGGCTGAATGGTTAGCATGTGCGTGCTGTATCATAAAGTCTGTCATTGAGTCAACTGGCTTGGTTTCGATTCCTCGGTTGTACGTGACAAGGAGTAGGGTCGCCTGTCCAACCTCGTGGGTTTTCTCCGGGTCCTCCCACTGCTAAAGACCCCTACTCACTAAGCGAATTATGGAAATAAAATTGAACCATATGTTAGTCCCGAAATGACCTAGTTTGTGTTGAGTGGCCGTTACACCAGGGCCGTTACACCAGGGCTTCCACTTCAAAATTTCCACTGCCGGTCATTTTTGATAACGCACGAAAACTTTTCAAAGTAAATTCATATTTCATGTTTTTTATTCATGGTAGGGTATTGTGAATTCACGTGTCTATACCACTTTGTCACCATGGGGTGCACAAAAAAAAATATATTTGACTTAAAAATGAAATATTAGTAAGGCTCATGATAATTATTTAATAATTAAATATGCCGTTTTGGCTACTTAAATAACGAAATAGTTGAATTGGCCGGAGAAAAACCATTTCAGTAGCTCACACGTAATTAACACATGCTCTATAGAAAACACACTGACCTGGATAATTTTGAGTTGTAATACAATAACTTTGAAATGAAGATAAATATATAATTATCCATGGCATATATCTCACATTTTTTTGGTTTTAGACCATCTCTTACGGAATTACGGGCCGCAGAATTGTGACGTATATGTGAATCCTAATAATGTATAACTAAATGACTAACGGATAACTAACTTCACGGCTAGCGACACTAGCGCCCCCTTGAATATGGTCGTGTATAATAGTAACCGTATATACACGACATTTCTTCTACACGTGGAATTATCAATATTGCTGCACAATAGAACTGGAATACGTATTTTTCTTAATTGTTCGGTAAGCAAGTTAACTAATCTCTAGATTTTATTTCAACAATTTCCACAAGGCCGTAATACCGCTATAAACATTTTTAAATGCATTTTTCTCCCAACACGTACGTTGTTGAGGACTTACGTAATTTCTATGCTTTTTTTTTATTTTATATGACAGTTGGTTGGATTCGAAGAGCAATACTTCATATCAATTGCTCTTTTTCGAAGATCATAATAACCTTGTTTACATTGTGCCTGACCGTAATAGCGGTAAACAGCTTTGTTGTTGAAAATTCTTGACACGTGGACAATACTTGAATGATTAACAATGGGCCGCTTCACACCGTTGATTAGATTCCCACTTACCAATTAACATTTATTGTTCTACTACCAGACACTCATCATTAATTATCAACACAACACTCAGTATAATCTGTTGACGACTATATATACAACTCTATAACACCAATCACGAGATTGGCTTCTAGACGACGTGCATTCTTGTATAGTTACACAGTGAAGGTCGATCGTAGCCATGTTTGAAATTGTTTTTTTTTTTTAAAAAAAAAGACCCTCTTTACGGCGTGCAAAATGACCGTTAGGTCAGATCTAGGAACGGTCATTTTCCATAGCCGTAGGTCTCGACCGGCATATACGGCCGACGTTGAACACATGGTTAACACTCATTGATACTACCTCATTACTTGTGATCATTACTCCTCTAAATCCTTTAACACTTGGTACTTGTAAATATTGACACCAGTTCCTTAAACAAATTTAGCCATAAACCACTCGAAACTACTGTTCCTTAAACCGTTTCAAATCACCAAGAAATGTAAATATCCCTCTTGTGTCATAGTACAGTATGTACTATTTTTTGGGAGGCAGTGTGACTAAGGCAGTCTAAGGAGCCCTAGTGCTAAATGGTTGAGCTGTAAAAATGTGAATCAATGGGAAATGTTGTGATTCTGTCTGTACATAGTAATATTACTACATGAGGGGTAGTAGTCCCATCAAGACTTCTCTTGTTTAAGTTTTGTTTATATTTAACGGATTATGATCCCACAATTGTTCAATTTAGATAGCCTTCCCAAGAGAAATGGCATCTATTATTCTATTCATAAATAGCTCAAGAAATGGATTCACGCTTAGGAACTTTCGCAAAGAATGGCTATACAATTTCATAAGATTTAGTCCCGAAAGGTCCCCAAATTCTTTATATTTATAACAATATGTGGGTTAAGTTATAAACTCATAAATTATATATGTCATTTCAGCTAAATCGGATAATTTAGCCTACGATCCATTTCATCGTAATCCATTATATTGTCGTGCTGATACCGCCTGTATCTGGGAACTTAAAAAACTCACCAAGCATTTTCATCCGTCTGTTGTGGTATTTACGAAAAACATCTTAAAGGTAAAGTCCATGTTTTTTGTGAGTAATGTCTACAGGGGTCCAATATAGGCTATGCCTGTTCCCCAATCCCTATTCAGATACAAATCTGAATAAAATATTGTTTAAAAAAGTAATTTAGCGGAGAAAAAGTTTTTGGACCAGAATGTTTTTGGTTTTTTTTAAGTTTATTGTGGTACATATATGATGTATGTGATAGAAATCTTTGTAAATTGCAATAAGTATTTAAGCTATATAAGCTATATATTAACATAACTTATTTAAATAAGTATTTATTCTATATATTAACTTAACTTATTTAAAAAGGTATTTAAGCTATATATTAACTCAATTCATTTATATAAAATTATGCTATATTATTTCAGGGTGTAAAGATTACATACAGTGGGGATCCATTACAAGATTTTACATTAATCAGATTTCTAGAAAGATTTGTTTATAAAAATCCTAAAAAACTTGAAGATGATAAAGGTAAATACATTGATACAGTTATTTCAAAAAAAGAAATTATTAAGAGGGTAGGTGAAATAACTTATGTATATGTATGAATTAAAGTAGATAAAGTACAAGTATTTCTATGTTTACGGTAGATAAATACATACATAAATAAAAAATACCACCAGTTAAAAAAAAGGGACCATTTCACTTCTTCATTCTGATATATATCAAATCATAAGCTACTGCCTGAACCATCGTAAATTTTAAATAGATTTCTTCGATTATGAACAAGCTACTTAACTTCGGTTATTATAAACATACCTGTGTGTTTGAAATCAGCTCCCGTTCAATAAAATCCATTGCACAACTAATTGAAGAAATCTGTTTAAAATTTACGATGGTTCAGACAGTAGCTATCTGCTCTGAATGGAGCGTCTTTAGATGTTATACACAGCAAGACCCGGTTTATACCATGTATTTGGTTTCTGTGTGTAATTTATTACACCTATCATTAAGCTGTTGCTGGAGTCCCTCTAACACAAGAATAACCAAACTCTGATGAATGCGCCTCATGTGGCTCATTGAACGATTCCAAGTTGCACATTGCATCCCTGTGATGATAATAAACTAAGGCTATAAGCCTACTCATTATTTTTTGCGATTATTATTAAGTCAATAGTATACAAGATTTCTATGGTGTGTGAATAAATTGGCACAGGGTATGTAAAAGGTTGGCCATCCCTGCCCAGATATCACTATATTAGTTTTAAAAGAGTCTGACTAACTACTTATCTGTGATATAACCCTAGGTGGAAGGGGTCATTAAGCCTCAAGAATGAACAAACTGACTAATTAGAAAATTAGAAATTAAGAATTTTTTGGTATTATTGTAGGCCTACATGTTATATTATATTATTAGAAAGAAAAAAAAAGAAAAAGATGATTTAAATTAGAATGTTATAATTTCAATTTTGTGTGTATTTAGAATCTGGTGGTAAGAGTAAAACTGTGAGTAGATTTCGATTAAAGCCATCTCTACCATCTGGTGTTAGAAAGTTACGAGTAAATGAAGCAGCTTATTTAGCAAAAGGTGAAAAGAGAATTCCTGCTGATGAAAAATTCTTCTACAGGTCAGTAGACACTAAAACAATAACTTAACCAAATATAATAACTTTCCAAATACCATAACTTATCTAAAAAACATAACTTATTTCAATTATCGTGAATACAATAATTGTGAATAAATGAATTGAATTAATTGGTTTAATTTCCATTCACATAAAAGCCTTATCTTATTGTTAAAGTTACAATAATTGTGTTGACTGAATTGAATATCCTTAATTTCCTCTGTCATAATAACCTTACTCTTATATTGTTTACAATTCTAAATGAATTGAATATCCTTAATTTCCTCTTGCATTATAACCTTACTCTTATATTGTTTAATTCTAAATGAATGGAATATCCTTAATTTCCTCTCACATAATAACTAAATACTTGTCTTATTGTTTAAGTTACCATTTAGAATTTTGGTAATAAGACAATTTAGAACAATATATGTTCTCATTATCTACATTCGTCAATGTCAAATTTCAATGACTTCTGATAATCGCTTGCAGAGTTATGACCCTTGATCCTTTTGAAATCCTAGTGGATGCTGCTTCATGGCTGGAAATGTATACACAGTGTTTATGTCCATTATACAGAATGTGCATTAAACCAAAAATCTCATTTATCACAATTTCTATTTATCTATTGGCTTGGTCACACTTAATAATCTTTTGGAAGCTGTAGGGGCTAATGTTATAATCCATTTTGAAATGATTCAAGCATCACATTCTACAATTGTTTGTGAACAGTCTACAGGTCACAATTTTTATCCGATTTCAATGAAACTTGAAATATAGGTTTATCACCCTAAGATCTCGGTTCCTTTCGATATTGGCATCTATCGGACTGTAACTTCATGGATTATGGCCCCTGATTGTACGAAAAATCACGTTTTTGGCTTGTGAACACTGTAGAGGTTGAAACTTGAAATGTAAGTTTATAACCCAAAGATCTCGGTTCCTTTCGATATTCGCGCATATCGGACCGTAACTTCCTGAATTATGGCCCCTGATTGTACGAAAAATCCTGTTTTTAGCTTGTGGACCCTATAGAGGTCATAATTTTTATCCGATTTAAAAAAAACGTTTTAGTATATCACCGTTACACCCTAAGGACAGCTGCGTTCAAATTTCATGAAAATCGTCCCAAAACTGACAGAAAAAATGGCCGACCATCGTTCTCAAATAGCAAAAAAATATGGTATATCAAGGTTGTGGACCCTATAGAGGTAACAATTTTTATCCGATTTTCTTGAAACTTGAAATGTAAGTTTATAACCCAAAGATCTTGGTTCTTTTCGATGTTTGCGCATATCGAATTGTAATTTCCTCAATTATGGCCCTTGATTGTACGAAAAATCACTTTATTTTTGGCTAGTTCTCTATCCATCTCTCGAAAATGTGGGCATACCCTGCCTGGCAGCCGCTGGTTCCTATGGATTTAATATTCTGTTCATATTTTTACTTGATTCTCTAACTTACGAGTACTGATAGTTCATACATTTTATATATTGGATTCTTCCATTAACCATTGCATATAAGGGTGGTTCATGTTTCTATGTGCTAGGTTATTTCATGTATCCATTACACAAATACCCTTCTAGAGTTATTCCAAGTAACCATTACACATAAAAGTGGTTCATATATTTTATATGCTAGGTTATTCCATGTAACCATTAAAGGATGGTTAATATATTTTTATATGCTAGGTTATTCCATGTAACCATTAAAGGATGGTTAATATATTTTTATATACTAGGTTATTCCATGTACCCATTACATATACCCTTCTAGAGTAGTGCAAATAGTTTTATATGCTAGGTTATTCCAAGTACACATAAGGGTGGTTCATATATTTTATATTCTAGATTATTCCATGTACCCATGACACATACCCTTCTAGAGTGGTGCATATATTTTTATATGCTAGGTTATTCATGTCCCCATTACACACACCCTTCAAGACTGGTTTATTTATATATTTTAATATGCTACATGTACATTATTCCATGTACCCATTACACACACCCTTCAAGACTGGTTTATTTATATATTTATTTTTAATATGCTAGTTTTTTCCGTTCAACTATTACACATACCCTTCCAGAGTGGTTCATATATTTTAAAATGCTATTTTATTCCATGTACCCATTAGACACACCCTTTCACTCCTTAAAACTCCAATTCTTAACATTACATTAGATGTGATTATAAAAAATTTTTTGTTTTGTCTTTTATTTCAAAGGATTCCGAGTCACTGTCTTCACTTGCCAATCAACAGAAAATACAGCTTTGAAAACCTCATTAATCTCTGTGTGGTTCTTGTTGCATAAAATCCATTTCAAATTAGATATAAAATTACTTCTCTTGTAATTTTATTATTTTCATCCTTTGATACCGTAATGGAAAGTTTGTTTTCTTCACTTTTTTGGATATCTGATTTTATTAACAATGATATCAACTTGTGCACTAGGATCGAGTAGCCAGTTATTATATTTGTTTGAAAGAATCAAAATTATATTCAAAAAAAGTTACTTTTCAGAAAAAATTTAATCTGTTGTCACTATTTCTGTACACGCACTATAAAACTGTTAAAGTGGACAAAGAATTTTACCGTCCAATGTCAGTAATGTGCTTTTCGCAAATTTAAATCATATCTTTCATAGGTAGATGTATTTGGTTGCCCAGGTACTCAGGAAAATCCATCTGTTTCATTTGACCCACCAAGTGGTGTAACCTGCATTTCCTAACAATGGAACAGTGTCTTAATTTGGGGGAGTCGAGGTGAAGTCTATTCCAAATCTGTAATGTTTATTGGAGTACACATGACCTACATAAACTTTCATGAAGGGCATCATAATCTACATTGTTAGTCATCGACATAGTCTGATACCTTAGTTCATTGTCTATTTACATTGATTCTGGTTCCAGATGTTTCTAAACCAGCCAAAAATTGACCCCACCCCCCACCCCCCAACTCCCAACCCCTAACCCCACTCCACTCCACTTCTCCACACTACTTCTCCACACTGACAAACAGCTTGTTTTTATCTAGGATGTCGCATAACATAACTTTATTTTATACTATGGCTTACTGGTATCAATTTACTGAAGAATTCTCTTTGATAATCAAAAAAGCTTTAAAAGATCCTACTGAAAGCTACTTTTTCTTAACGCCAATTTTTTTCTTATGTAAATACCTTAATGACAATTGATCAGGTTACTTGTAAGTATTATATATATAAGAAGATAAGGTATTAGGAAATTAATCAAAGAAATCCGTATTTGGGATATCAGAAAATTATTGGCATTAATGGCATTGAATATCTTTTAAAAAGCATCTCATTTTGATTGATGTTTTGCAATATATATTTTTCTACAACTAAAAACTCAGCAAGCCAAATTGTTTACAATCTTCACATATACTTCAAAAGTGTTAAATTAAATATTTACTATTTTAATGTAAAGGCATACCTGTGAAGAAAGCATTTAAATATAGGAGGTGATTTTGTTTTCCACAGTGAACATTTTCTATGCAGTATAGTAAACAAACCCATTTCTACTTAATTGTACCCATTTTAAAGACCTTGTCTCATATCTAATTAAAATAAAAGAACTCAGTTCAACTCTTGTGGCCTGAATAAAACAGATTAATCTTGTTGTGGGTGGGGGGCCGAATGGTTAGCATGTGCGCGCTGTATCATAAGGTCTGTCATTGAGTCAACTGGCGTGGTTTTGATTTCCCAGATGTATGTGACAAGAAGTAGGGTCGTCTGTCCAACCTTGTGGGTTTTCTCCGGGCCCTCCAGTTACCTCCCACTGCTAAAGACCCATATGCGCAAGCAATTATTGAAATAAAATCGAACCATGTGTTAGTCCCATGTGTTTGTGTCGAGTGAACGTTAAAACACATTTCTCTCTCTCTCTCTCTCTGTTGTTCCTATTTCCATTCACATGGAATTGTGAACAGATAGTGGACGTACAGAAACTTGATACCCTCACATTAAAATTGATTAATAGATCAAGGATTAACCGTAGCTGAAATCCACATTAAAATTGTTAATACATTATGGATGAACAGTAAGTAACTGAAGTTAGGGCTGGACAATGATTTCAATAAATCACAATTTAAATTTTATTGAAAATTGTTTTTTTACCATTATAAATACTGAAATAATCCAGTATATCGTTTGACTCTAGATTAAAGCCATTCCTTCAACAATATTCTCTCAAATATTAATGTATTTTATTGAAACAAAGTATAAATCAGATTGGTCATACATAAGAGTTCATACTTCAAACATCCATACTCAATGGAGCTGTATTAAGGCCTAAGATTTTTGTTTAACTAGTGCTGGACAATAATTTTTATAAATCAGTATATCTGTATATGTAAATTTTATTGAAAATCATTATTTGATACCACAATAGTCGAATATATCGCTTGACTCTATCTCTCTTTCACTAATAATTTTCTCTGAAGGAATGGGGGGTTGGATGGCCGAAGGGTTAGCACACGCGCGCTGTATCACGAGGCCTGCCATTGAGTCAACTGGCGTGGTTTCGAATCCCCGGTTGTACGTGACAAGGAGTAGGGTCGCCTGTCCAACCTCGTGGGTTTTCTCCGGGTCCTCCGGATTCCTGCCACTGCTAGAGAACCCTACGCGCAAGCGAATTATGGAAATAAAATTGAACCATATGTTAGTCTCGAAATGACCTAGTCTGTGTCGAGTGGACGTTAAACCCCATTTCTCTCTCTCTCTCCCTGAAGGAATATTATATTTTAACATATGTAAGCTTGACCTTACAATGATTTAAATTTACTTGCTTCTCATAGAAATTTGTTTCAAGGGTTTGTCACATCTTTTCGAACCTTTTGTTATGAAGGGGAGTTGGATGGCCAAATGGTTGACGCGTATGCGCTGTATCATTTGGTCTGTCATTGAGTCAACTGGCGTGGTTTGTGGTTTCGATTCCCCGATTGTACGTAACAAGGAGTAGGGTTGCCTGTCCAACCTCGTGAGTTTTCTCCGGGTCCTCCGGATTCCTGCCACTGGTAAAGAACCCTACGCGCAGCAAGCGAATTATTGAAATAAAATTAAACCATATGTTAATCCCGTAATGACCTAGTTTGTGTCGAGTGGACGTTAAACCCCATTTATCTCTCTGTTTTTTTTGCCTTGAGGCAGTATAATTGCAATAATGGTAATATATTGTGGATTTTTATATTGATATTTCAATAATGAAAATTTCAAATATCGTCCAGTCCTAAATGAAGTCCACTTAAAAATTGGATGATAAAAAATGAGTAGATGACAAATAGTTTGAATTGGGCTTATATTTTATATTAAAACTTTCTGGACAATATTTCTTGAATCACCCTGAAATCATTTCTCGATACTGGCAGTGGCGGCGCCAGGGGGGGCAAGGGGGGGGGGGCATTTGCCCCCCTATTAATCTGGTCTGCCCTCTGTTTGCCCCCCCAATAATTTTAGAAAATAAAAAAAAGTATTTGTGATACGATTCATTAATCAATACATTCTACGGTGAATAAATCCCACATCCCCACTCAGTCATAAACTTGCATGTTGTAGAGCATTTCTGACAGTCTATTTTTCAAAATTTTCTTGGCGAGGTCCCCAATGGACTCGCTACTTTGGCGTTCACAAGGGGAATTCGTTGAGGTTCGCAAGTCCGTTCGTTTGACATTTTGTTGTCTAGTCGGATAAACTAGTGATCAGGCGACGGACGGTATCTGGTCAGATCTATTTATCTCGACGATCGGTACCTGGGAATACTGTAAGACAGCATTTCCGGTAGTCTATTTTTCAAAATTTTCTGGGGGAGGACTCCCTACTTTGACGCTCGTGAGTGGGCTTCGTCGTGATTCGCAAGTCTGTTCGTTTGAAACTTAACCTCATCGATCAGTGCCTGAAATACTGCCAGGCTGCATTTCCGGCAACCTGTTTTTTCAAAATTTTCTGGGGGAGGCCCCCTACCCCTGCCCCAGCTTTGCCCCTCCAATCACCGACGGCTGGCACCGCCACTGGATACTGGGTTTAATTTTTCCTCAACACAAAAGTCTTAAGTCATTAAATATTATATGATATTGATACAGCACACATCCGGTACTAAACATCATTCAGTTATACGTTATTCACATCAAATATAAACAATTCTATAAATATCTATAAAACTTGAATATAAATATAAAGCTCTAAAAACATTTGTAATATAATCATCGAAGAACAGTTAAAACAGCCATTAGATAAAACCAATTAATAATAATAGGCTTTTAAAAATAAATGAGTCTATAATAATAATAATAGGCTTTTAAAAATAAATGAGTCTAGGTGTGTGATTTGAGCGATGTAGTAGTCTCTTCCAAAGAACAATATTGTAAAAGTTCAATAAGACTATTAGTCCAGAAATGCGATTTATGAACAGGGGCGGATTGGGGCAGGAAACCGGCCCGAGCTCCAGTGTCGGAGCGACCCCTTTTACTGACTGCGGAGGACGGATGAGGGGTCCGGGGGCTCTCCAGAGTGAAAATTTTGAAAAATGAACTCCAAATGTGCAATTTGGTGGCATATCTGATTAGAATCTGAGTTCTGCATGGGGATGGGGACTGAGATAACGTTCTTTCACTGGGTCAAGGCCGTATAACAGGTGGCCTTGACGGAGTGGGAGCGGACATGCATAGACCTATGGGACACAATTCATTTTTGAATTTTGGGATATGGGAGGCCATTTCCCACAATTTGAGACCATTCCCAACATCCCAATTCTGTAATTTCATCTCTGAATATAAAGAGTTAATAAAAATGTCAAGGAATGTTTAACACCAGCCTCAGGAAATCGTCTCGCACTCATATTCAGCCAGCAGACCAGTTATCATCAAATTTTGCTGAGACCTTAAAATTGAATTTTTTTGGGAGTTACAAACCATCGGCAGACGTTTCCGTCGTATCCCCATAAACAGAGTGCAGGTGACTTAATAAGTAGTAAATTTGCTGGCGACAGTGTCGGGTGAATCCGATGAAATTTTCGGATTGCAGGATTCCGAATTCCGGCCCACACCCAGCACACCCGGCCCAGGAAGTCTATTATACCAGCCCATTTCAGACTCCAGTGATGGCGTGGCGACTGTTTAAAGCTACCGGCCACATACAACATGATCATCATTGCTCCATGGCCGGTCCAAAAGGTTTTTTTAGACGAATTGGACAAAATTATTTTTTTCATTTTTTGTCTGACCGGCCCGATGGCCCAATCCACCCCCTGTTTATAAATTGAAATTCCATCGATCTATGTTGCTGCCCATGTAAATAGCCACTTTACCTATTGTCTTTCTTCTCACTTTGTTTTGTTGGCAGAATCTATTGATAAAACAATACATTTCTTTGAAGTTGGAACATTCCACCATTTTGCAATCTGCAGTTGGCTTATCTCTGGTTGAAAGTGTTTTTATTGTTGGATGACTTTATGATATTATAACACACTGACCACCATGTTTATTTCCACCATTTTACCATCTGCAGTTGGCTAATATCCGGTTAAAAGTGTTTTTATTGTTGGATGACTTCATGATATTATAACATGACGACCATCTTGTTTATTGTTTAACAAATTTTAATTGATGGGCCTATTTATATTCTGATTTAATCCAAGCCTTGAGATTATCTTGCATTGATATTTTGATTTTGTTTTTTTCTTTAATTAATTGTTAAATAATCAATTTGAGGTATTATTAGCGATGAGGAAGCCATGAGTAATATGCTATTTTCTGAAAAATACAGATCATGCACAGTCACTTTAAGGGATTTTTTGAAAGGTATAGTGAGGAACTGCTTTTATTACAAGTGGGGGGTTGGATGGCCGAATGGTTAGCACGTGCGCACTGTATCATAAGGTCTGTTATTGAGTCAACTGACAGGGTTTTGATTCCTCGGTTGTACGTGACAAGGAGTATGGTCGCCTGTCCAACCTCGTGCGTTTTCTCCAGGTCCTCTGGTTTCCTCCCACTGCTAAAGACCCCTACACGTAAGCAATTTATTGAAATAAAATTAAAACCGTGTGTTAATCTCAAAATGACCTAGTTTGTCTGGAGTGGACGTTAAACCCTCCCTCTCTCTCTCTCTCTCTCTCTCTCTCTCTTTTATTACAAGTGAAAGTTTATTTATTTATAACAATTCATCTTCTTTATGTTAAACTAAAACGATATAAGGTAGGCTACATTACGATGAATGAATTTCATGTGAATACTCTTAGTAAGGTTAATATATTCTTAATGTGATTTTATTGTTGATAGATTGTCCATTAGGAGACATAACCTGATATTTCTGTTTTTTAGATATTTTCGTCAGAGAGCTGATTTGGGAAAAAGATCTAAAAAAGAAGACAGTGATGTAGAAGATGTCAGTGACGATGAATTTGAAGCATTCTTAGGTAAAAATGATGTGTCTACTCAAACACATAATCCTTTATGGCCTTTGTCTAGATTTGGGACAAGAGAACTTTGATTCTAACTTATGGAGAGTGATGATTGACTAAGACGTCTGAAGCTCTAATGCATCACCATTTAGATAAATATTTGGAAGATGAAATCAAAAAATACAGTTACCTTAATTTCTTACAATTTATATTTGTAATTTTGTATTTTCAGATAATTTTGAAAAACAAGCAGATCCGAAAGATGTTTTCATGAGAAAGGATTTAGATTTAGATTTTGCTGGGTAAGATTATTTAAAAATAGGATGAATAAATGAAATGAAATTGGGCTAACATCATAATTGAATGCCAATGAAAATGAATATAGTAGAAAAATGCTAATATTTTAGATCATCTACTTATGGAACGCGAACATAAATGAAGACTGGAATATTGCTGGTACTGAATTAAATATGGAAAATTTTCAAAAGGTGTACCTGTCGTTATTTTTGTGATAATAACATACATTAGAATACGACATTCTCCATAATGAATTACCAAGAATTATTTTTGTTGAAGTCTAGTTATATTAAAGGGAATGTAAGCTTATAATTAACCCATTTCTTATGCGACCTCATTTGATCCAATTCTGGCCAGTTCGTTTCAAAATGGATTAAGAACCCTAGAACATACACCATGCAATGTGCTGTGAGGGAAATTTTACCTGGACAGCAGTGTTTCCTCAAATTCGAAGTATTCACAGCTCTTTTACTTGCACGCCAAAGTGAACATAGGTTGTTTTTTGTCCCATCCAAAGAACTAGTCACTGTTCCTTACCAGGCCTTTCATCCTTCCCCACCAACAGGTATAATCCAGGCTGGAAAATAACAAAGAACTTTCTATGTCAACTTCCTGGACCTTTTGGTCCAACGCCTTGCTCACTGAGCCACAGTGACCACCTTAAAAAAGTTTTGAATATCATGAATATTTTTGTGTTCTTCTTGAGGAATTAATCTCTATGTCAAGTTGGTGCCTGGTGGAATAAAAAAAAATGTGGAATTGTGTTCTGTGTTTCTGCCATATATAGATCACTTAGCATATATTCTGATTTTGACAGTAATTTCATTTAAACATGCAATAGTAGAAAATATAAATGTGTTTTAAGCTATGAGAAAAATAATATGCATTTCATTAACATATAAAATGAAATGGGTTTTTTTGTGCTTTCAGAAGTGAATCTGTTTGATTTATGTGTTTATTTGATAAGTTCAGACTTTCCATTAGGCTCACCCCTTTTTGAAGAAAATGGAGAACTATTAAGATAGGTCTGCCAGGAATAGGTTCTTTATGTGTTTACAGAAGAGAGGCTGTTTGATTTATACGTTTAATTGATTAGATTAGACAATTTCTATTAGTGATAGTTGAAATGTTTTATAGTTAAATAATTGGTGTATATAGTCGTAACAGGAGCTAGTATCCTTTATTTATTGTTGTTTTTTTTTTGATGGCCACATTGTAAAGCTGTTGCTATCTTCTCTAGCTGTCTATTGTTCGCCATTTCTCGTGAACACTCTGGAGATCGGAGATTTTTATACACCCTCATTTGATATTAGGGCATATTGTCGTCACTTCTGCCACACGTCAGTTTATAACTCTTGTTAAAGGTCTACAGGTCAATCATGGAGGATGACAAAGAAATTTTATTTTATTGCCCCTTATGATCAATATATATTAGGTGTTATAAATACTATATATTATGTGTTATGTTAGGTGTTATAAACACTATATGGTAGCTTCTATAGACACTATATGTCAGGTGTTATAAATACTATATAAAGTAGATCCTAAGGGCTAATTAGTGTTATATATTATATTATATTAGGGTTAAGTTGGTACACATAATCCAATAACCATCAGGCAATTTAATCCATTAGCAAATGAACTTCCTACATGGGAATATAGAAAGCTGAACGCTATATGTTTATTTCTGATTATTAGTAAAAAGCGACAGTTATCTTTAAAAGTATTAGATATAAAAATTGAAGTCAAGTAAATACTGTCATATTTATGTAAGAAATGCAGAATCATAGACACAGCTTTGTCAATCAACTGCAAAGTCACCCATGTTTGCTCTAAAATTGTTGTCGACCAATCCTGCAAGTCAAAATTAGAAGCAAAAAAAAATACTGAACTTTGTCCTAAATTCGAATGGAAAGAAGAGAATATCGCAAAATTTATTTATCAGGTTTTAAAGATTATGGGGGTTGGGTGGCTGAATGGTTAGCACGTGCACGCTGTACCATCAAGTCTGTCATTGAGTCAACTGGCGTGGGTTCGAATCCCCGGTTGTACGTGGCAAGGAGTAGGGTCGCCTGTCCAACCTCGTGGGTTTTCTCCGGGTCCTCCGGTTTCCTCCCACTGCTAAAAACCCCTACGTGCAAGCGAATGACCTAGTTTGTGTCGAGTGGACTTTAAACCATATTTCTCTCTCTCTCTTTAAAGATTATATTAAGAACACAGACTTGTATCGGCTTCATAAGATTTAACAATTTTGAATGAAATGTACAGATAACTCTGAGATATCCTATTTTTTTTTTATTAATTTACTAATTGGCCTTTTGTACTTTTCCAGAGAATTTTCCAAAAAGAAAGGTCAGAAGAAGAAGAAAAAGGGAGAAGAGAGTTCAAGTTCAGATGAAGATATTGATGGTGATGATGAGGATGACAATGATTTATCTGATGAGGAACCAGAATTTGATGAGGCTGAAATGAAAGAAGCATTTAAAGAATTTAATATGGATAATACAGAAGAAATGGACTTCAATGAAGAAGATGTTGCATTTTCCTCTGATGGTAAACTTCTAAATTTTAACTTACAATACTCTTATAAAATTACTTTAGAAATCCAACACAAAATAAATAGTTTAACAATTAATTTAAAGCACAGTTCTTGCTATTTTCATCGTGGCTAATACTTTGACAGAAAAAGGTATCCATGGATGCAATGATGAGTGATAATGAGCGCTATTCTTGGATGGCTGCCCTATAGTGTGCTCTGTGGTTTTGTACTATTTGTTCAAGTATCTTGGTCAAGTTCTGCTGGAATTTGTGTTGTGAATATGTATAAAACTCATCTATTTACCAGTGCATTTTAGCTAGAATGGATCCAGATATGTGTAAATAGTGACCATAGAAAACATAGTACGCGCCTAGAGCATGCATTTGTGGATGGATTGGCACTTTACAAATATACATTATTATTATTAACATAATGCAGGTGTCAGACTTTTAAAAATCCTCAGTCACTTTCACACAAAACTTACAAATGCTATACATAATATATCAGGGGCGGATATACATAAATTTTTTGTAAATCAGTACTTTTTATGAGAAAAGTTTCTCGGCCGTGTGCTTTATCCTTTATCTTTAGATGTGGGACAGCATGGGCACTCAAAGCACGAGATAATGATATAGACATTATGTGATATCACAATTAATGCTTTGCATCCATGAAATTGAATGACAAAGTCATTGTATTAATTCATAATAAAAATTGAAATCAAACGAAGTGTTGAATTTCTCTGTTTAAAAAGCTCAATGTGTATGTATATACGCCAAAATGACCATAGAGACCATGTGGGAGGGGGGGGGGGGGAAGATACATTGTCTCAGGAACCTGGCAAACCCCCTCCTGTAAAAATTCCTGGATCCGCCCCTGATATATATATATATATATATATATATATATATATATATATATATTATGTACTACATAAATATTTTAACAATGTAATAGATACTGATTTCAGTGTCTTGTATAAAATAATTGATAAAACCATTTTCTTTATGTAACAGCTATAATCGTTTCATGATATCCAATAAATTATAAATTATTGAATATTTGTAACATTTTATTATGTAAAAGATGATGAAAATAAACCAATTAAAAGTAAGAAGACGTTGATGAAGAGGAAAGCTAAGATGGATGATATGTTAGATTCAGAATTGATGAATTCGGGCAAGAAAAAGAAAAGGTAGACTTACTTACATACATCTGGTACAAAATATATCTTGTATCTTTATTAAGTCAGTTTGAAAAGTGTTGGTCAAAGCTCAGGAGCAAATAGAATCTGATTTATTTTGAGGTATTTTTAATGAAAGATTTGCATCAGTTTTTGCACAGATGGGCAACATTAATTGTTAGTTATTAAAACTTTGCAAATAAATGAGAAACAGAATCAGATGTGGTACAAGAAGGGGAAGAGGGAAATATTGTTTAACGTCCACTCAACACAAAGTAGGCTATTTCGGGAATAACATAAGATATAATTTTATTTCAATAATTTGCTTGCACGTTGGGGACTTTAGCTGTGGGAGTACCCAGAGAAAACCCATGAGGTTTCACAGACATCCCTATTCCTTGTCACATACAAGATGGGGAATCGAAACCACACCACTTAACTTAATAACAAACCTTATGATCATAGGCGTAGGAGCTCAAAGTAATTCAGGGGGGCATAAGAGAAAATTGCCCAAAATCAATACCGTTTTTTTCGGGCATACATATCATAAGAGAGCTTCGGGCATGCAGTGGACAAGAAAAAGACGAGAAAATACTTTTCGGGCAGTGTGGATCTCATAGAAATAAGTTAGTTATATTTTTTCTCTAAACGTTAATAGAAAAAAAAGGTCGTCGAATTTTTCATTGCCCGAAAATAAATTGCACCCCCCCCCCCCCCCGGCTCCTACCCCTATGCTTATGATCTGAAGAGCATGTTAACCATTCTTTACCAAACTCCTGAAAGTATATATGCTGGATCAAATAAATGAGAAATGGCATCATCTGTGGTAGAGAAGTTGATCAAATACCTTATAGAGCATGTTTTATATTTGACAGTAAAAATATAGAAGATTTATATGCTGCAGCAGAGGAATTTTCAACTGTTATGGATAGTAATATAGATGATGTTGATGTAGAAACACTAGGATCACAAGCTTTATCTAACACAGCTAATAGTGGTAAGTTAAACATAGTGTCATTAGTGTTAAGTTATATGTGGTATCATTAGTGGTAAGTTATTCACAGTATCATTAGTGGTAATGTATATACAGTATCAATAGTGGGAATGTATCAGTAGTGGTAATGTATACACAGTATCATTAGTGGTAAGTTAAACACAGTATCAATAGTGGTAATGTATACACAGTATCATAAGTGGTAAGTTAAACACAGTATCAATAGTGGTAATGTATACACTGTATCATTAGTGGTAAGATATACACAGTATCATTGGTGGTACGTTGCACACAGTATCATTAGTGGTAAGATATACACAGTATCATTGGTGGTAAGTTGCACCCAGTATCATTAGTGGTAAGATGCACATAATTTTTTTATTATCATTGGTGGTAAGGTGCACATATTATCATTAACGGTAAGTTATAAATGGTATCATTAGTGGTAAGTGGACCATTAAACAACTTAAAATACAGATACTGGCAATGTTTCGAGGAGGGTTCTGTCACCTTTATCAAATTATGTTCGTCTCCTGGGTATTCTAGAAGCTAGCAATTGCTTTAGAACGGGTTAGAGCTCCATTTATAATTGTAAACCACTTAAGACATGGTGTATTATATTATTGTAGATATAAAGCAGGTACGATGGGAAGTGGCTAGAGATAAATGGATTCATGATAAAGATTGGAAATCAAAGAAAAGACAAGGCAGTGGCAAAGGACGTCCACAAAAAGCATTTGGTTCAGGAAGTAAAAAGAAGTTTAAAGCTGGTGGAAGACCACAAAAACCTCGTAAAAAATAATACTATGTACATCATTAATAAAATCATTTACAATATTGTTATAAAATTGTCCTTTTTTATACACCAATATTTTCATGAGGACGAATTATGTTGTCGCCCCTGTTCTCAGGACGTCCGTCTAGGGGAGACTTTTTTTTAGAGTTTACAAACCATTTCAGGTAAATCTGAATGAAACTGTAAAATGGCCAAACTAGTTTAAAGCATGTAATATGTGTAACAAGGCTTTGGACACTCTAGATTTAGATGTTCAATTTAGATGAAACTTGATATAAGTCTTCAAGATAAAAAGATCTTGAAATCTAATTTTGGTCGAAAAATTGCAAATAATAATTATTATTTAAAGGAGCTAAATCGCTAACATTTGGGACCTAGAAATTCACAAAAGTGGGTCGCAACGCATATAATACTGTAATATGAATGTATATAAACTGATTTACATTTAATTGTTTCCGTTTTTAATCCAATTTCAAATCAGTTATGTTCGGCGAAATAAGTCAGCAATCTCAATCGAGTGCAAATTTCTAGCGTCTAGTTATTCTAGTCTACATAACTCCATTTGATTTGGTGCAATGTGTCTAGCCTCGTACCTCGAGTCACTCAATACAACTGGGGCTGAAGCGCATTATGGTACACGTTACGGACTTAGGTTCTTTAATCAGCGTAGAATTATTAACACATATAGTAGGCTCTTATCAGATGACAATAACTGACAGGAAGAACGGTAATTGATTTTGTAGGTTAATAGAGATAATATTAAAGTTATTCAATGATTGTCTGGAAATCAGTGTAAATCCATGAGTACCGGAGTTGTGTGATGTTTGTTTTGTTCCAGTTATAAGTTGTTCTTGCCTCCTCCATATATTGGATCATTGGGGTTGATATAAAACTGATACGGGGAGTTTGTGGATGGGGATTACAATAAATATACAATAAATAAATATACTATCAAGGATGCTTTATTCAAGAACTAAATCTGCTTATTGCAGGTTTTTATACGCCCACATTTTCATGTGGACGTATATTGTCGTCGCCCCTGTCCGTCCGTCCACAATTGTTTGTGAACAGTCTACAGGTCACAATTTTTATCCGATTTCAATGAAACTTGAAATATAGGTTTATCACCCTAAGATCTCGGTTCCTTTCGATATTGGCATCTATCGGACCGTAACTTCATGGATTATGGCCCCTGATTGCACGAAAAATCACGTTTTTTGTGGACCATATAGAGGTCATAATTTTTATCCGAATTCAAAAAACGTTTTATTATATCACCATTAAACCCTAATGACGGTTGAGTTCGAATTTCGTGAAAATCGGCCCAAAACTGACAGACAAAATGGCCACCGTTCGTTCTCAAATAGCGTAAAAAAAATATGGTATATCAAGGTTGTGGACCCTATAGAGGTCACAATTTTTATCCGATTTTGTTGAAACTTGAAATGTAAGTTTATAACCCAAAGATCTCGGTTCCTTTCGATATTCGCGCATATCGGACCGTAACTTCCTGAATTATAGCCCCTGATTGTACGAAAAATCACGTTTTTAGCTTGTGGACCCTATAGAGGTCATAATTTTTATCCGATTTAAAAAAAACGTATTATTATATCACCGTTACACCCTAAGGACGACTGAGTTCGAATTTCGTGAAAATTGGCCCAAAACTGACTGACAAAATGGCCCCCCTTGTTCTCAAATAGCATAAAAATATGGTATATCAAGGTTGTGGACCCTATAGAGGTCACAATTTTTATCCGATTTTGTTGAAACTTGAAATGTAAGTTTATAACTCAAAGATCTTGGTTTCTTTCGATATTTGCGCATATCGATTTGTAATTTCCTGAATTATGGCCCTTGATTGTAGGAAAAATCACTTTCGTTTAGCTGGTTTTCTATCCATCGCTCGAAAATGTGGGCGTATACTGCCTGGCAGCCGCTGGTTTTTTATTTTGGCTTCAAATGTTATATAAATTATTATTTAGACGTTTATTCACATGACAAACCCAAAATCAACTCTCTAGACAGTCGGATGGCAGAGAATTTAACCGACTGAAATGCGATTCCCATTTAATGATTATATTTTAATATGGAAAAGCGAGGCTTAGTCTCAATTAACAAGAAACGTTACTACGGTAATAACAATATTTACCACATATTGTCAAAACTGCAAACTGGGATAACTTGGCTTAGAATAAAATAATTTGAATGAAATATTCAATATATTAATTTTGAATTATTATAGCAAAAACGGCCTGCTCTTTAATTTTGCTTCTTAATATTGATAATAATAATAAAAGTTCATTTGATAGTGCTTCAAAAAATCCAATCTGACTTGCGTAAAGCATCAGGCTATTATCATTCAGATTAATTTATCATTATTAGAAGTTATTAAAAGCAGTGCTTACACAGATTTTCAAGGCAATTCGAACTGATCAGCTTGTCCCTTGTTATATTAAAATATAAAACGTATCAAGCTTCAGAGACCTAGAATAAATTTATTTGGCTCGGGGTGCTTTCTTTTCTTATATCTCTTTCCCTGGAATGATAGGTGATCCAGCATATCTGGGTGAAGTTAAAACAGCGCTACAGACAATATTAAAATAGCTGAAGCTCTAACTCAATATTATCCATAATATTCAAAATTAAAAACTCGAATTAGAATTTAATATTGGTCTATTTAATCAGTTATCTTACCGAGAAAATGTGGGACGCTAATATCCAATATTTAAAACACACTGAACATTTTAAAATCAGTACACGACTTGTGTATGCTGTTGACAAATTGGTTTCGACAATTCGAGCGCCATTGGTAATGAACAAAGAAAACCATATCCTACAAATCAATGCGGAAGTAATTCAAAATGGCCGATTCACAAATAAGAAAAAAAAAATAATTTAAAAACGTGTAGAATGGAGGTTTCCGTGACTGTCCAATACCCGACGACGACAGTATTTCTTATGTTGAGAATCGATATCATACCAAATGACAATTCTAATCATCAAATTCACTTAGAATTTCTCCATACTATGAATGTAGTGCGCGTGACAGGTATACTTATTATATAAAACCTGATTCACTCGCGTAGGAAATAGTTTCTAGGTACAGTGTATTTCTTAATTATCTTACAACAAAACCCGTAATAACGATATAATAATACGAGACGTGGACAGCAATCGTCTTTGACTGATCAGAAACACACCCAGTAATTGCATTATCTTGTGAGTAATACTCTCTGAGATTTCACATTATTCCTGGAAATGTAAGAAAAAATGTCATTACGAACTGACAACCGATTATTTCAATTAACTTGATTTTCTTTAGATCCGTGTTCTATTTAATTAGTACGTTGGCTTTATCTTGCTGTAACAGTCTCAGTACAAGCAAATACTAATCGTTTGACTTCGGTACCATTTTACTTTAGCTCGACTTAGGCACTAATTTCAGTAACAGTTTAAATGCAATGTTATGTACTGGTACAATTTGCAATTCCATGTTTCCGTACATAATTCTGATAATCCACAAAAACCTGATACTGAGAAACTGACACCTTTTTAGAGCATGTACATATACTTAAATGAACTGGAACTATGAAAAAATTTGAATATGTACATATACATGTATGATTGACCAGAGTCCTGGCTGTGAACGTGCCATACGAGGGCTGGCTGAAAAGTTCTAAGTCTGAAAAGGATAGATCAATTGAGTTGAAACAAACTGTTGCCACCACCAAGAACAGTTATTGAGTAAATCGCAGACATAAGAACTGCAACTGTAGTGTTATTATTGCCTTCGTACCAGACCCTCTTGTGAATCTACCCATTGACATCACCAGAAATGGACAAAAACGGCTATAGAGCAGTCATCAAGTACCTGCAACTGAACGGACTAACTCTTAACACAGATACATGCCGACATGGTCTCCACTTTAGGGGATGGCGGGGGATCACGTGGCTAAGTGGTTAAGACGCTGGCTCGCTAGCCTGGAGGTCGGGTGTTCGGTCCCTGCATTGGCCGAGAAGGTTCATCCAGATTTTCCGGTGTGGTTCCCCCTTGTTAGTGATGCAGGACGGAGGGTCTGGCAATGACAGCTGTCTAGTCGTTCGGATGGGACGAACAACCGAGGTCCCGTGTACACATTGGCGTGCACGTTAAAGATCCCTTGACAGTTGAAATTCGATATAAGAGTAGGCCGTAGTGCCGCTGTCCGGGCAAAATTTCCCTCATAGCACACTGTATGGCGTATGTCCGTCTTCATTTGCCCAGTTCGGAGCAGAACAGTAGGACGTTAAACCCCATTTCATTTCATTTCATTTAGGGGATGACGCCCCTTCCCTCTTTCCACGTTAAAGAAGTGGCTGTGGAATTTAAGCGTGGCAGGGAGAGCCTTGACGATAACCCGCGTCCTGGAAGGCCATCAACAGCAACCATTCCAGAAAACATTACCCGGGAGCATGACATGGTGATGGCCGATCGACAACTGACCACTCGACATATTGCCAGAGTTGTGGTCATCTCTCATGAGAGTTTCTGCAAGATGGGTGCCAAAGTTTTTGACTGCGGATCTGAAACGTGTCAGATTCCTGACTTCCCGTGACAATCTGTACCGTTTTGAAGCAGATCCACCGGTTTCTAAAAATGAAAAAGGAACTAGCAGGTCGTCATTTTCCTAGTCATGATGACGTCATGTCAGCTGCGAACTACTTTTTTAGAGTAGCTGGAGACAATTTCTTCCTGACCGGCATCCAGACCTTGCAACAGCGTTGGCAAAAGTGTGTACACCTCGAATGTTACTATGTATAGAAAAATAAATGGAAACCGTCGACTTTGTACATGTCTTTCACAGATAAGCTTAGCACTTTTCAGCCAGCCCTCGTAGTATTGTCCACAAAAGCTAAAGTTCTCAGTCGATTGACTTGAAAATGGGACGAAGCCTATTGATTTTTAATGGGGTTTCAATAATTAAGTATAGATAGTTGATCGCTAAGAAACATCTTGTGGACGGCTCTAGAGGATATTATTATTATCCGATTGACTTGA